GGTGAATATATGATGGGTTACACTGCAGGGGCATCTGGAGTGATACGAAGTTCATCTTTATGCTTTCTAGACTGGTTTGTGAAAGGAAATGTGCTAATGTTGGCTTCTTCAGAATAGTTGTGGAGCTGAGGTATTGCAGCACATGTAATTCATGCAAAAAGTACAATAATTGATGCCTTTATTAATCTTGCTGACCACTAATCTTGTTATGCATTTTCTTAAAACTTCCATAGGAGCTCACTAGTGATCTTGTTATTTCTTGCTATTCCTTATTATCTTTGTGCTTTGCCAAGTATGCTTGTTTTCTAGAACTGATTTTCTTTTTTCCAAAAACCTGCAGTAATTAAATATTAGAGACATTGGACTGTCTTTAAAAAGAATTATTGAATAAAACTAACATAAAGTTCACTAAACAAAATTAAGCAATTATTAACTAAGCAATAATTTCACTTTTGCTTTGGGTTTCCAGGAGCATCTCCTATTGTCTTGAGCACCCAAATCAGGAAATTGCTTCATAAATTGTTTTGGGATATTAACTTGAGTTTTATCTTTGCAACTCTTTCTTGAAAGAGAGATTTTGAATTTAGATATGACCAAACAGAAAAGATGCCATAGAAAATTTTTTTTCTTAAAGTCTTTTATCCTTGGATTTTCCCAGAAGTGTACAACTAGGATTCATTGAGGGAATTAGTCAGTGGGGCATGCTGCCTTACTTACAGCTGTTAAAAGTACAAGGTTCTATAAAAATGTAACAGTGTTATCAGCTACTGCCTCCCCAGAGAGTCAGAGTGCTTTTAGGTCTTGAAAAAACAGCAACTGAATATGCCTTAATTAGTGAAATTGATTACAGGGACTGGTGATATTAAAAACTGAAAATGGATGTACACGAATATTCATTGTTGCCTCTCTGGGGGAAAGTGAGGTGCAAGCAGCTGTGGAAAGATTGTGAAATGCTCTAATAATAAAAAAAGGATTTGAGATGAAATGTTATAATAAGCCAGGCCTTTTGGCACTACGATGATCTGGTGTGTATTTTTTACTTCAGTAGGAACTCTAGTTTCTGTAATTTTGCCTATATGTTGAAGGTTTTCTTTAACAATAAACAAACAAACAAACAGAAACTCCCACAAAATCCCCACAATGAAGTATTGGAGGAAGGGACAGAAGGATAAAGCGGAGTATAATGGATACTCCTTTTAAAGCAACAAAAGGATGAGAAATGAAGAGTTTAGCAATGTGTTATGTGCAAGGTTCTGTTCATTCAGGATTCCTACATATTTTTATTACTTACTGAAAGTAGAGAAAAGATCTAAAAATAATGATCACACAGAAATGTGTGTAAAGCAGCAACGTGGATGAATCTATTTTAACTAATACTTTGGAGCTGTGGAAACTTGCTTTTTAGTAGTTATGGTGATGCTAACAATTGAAGTAATTCCAATATACTATAAAATACTTACTGTTGGGGCATTCCATGGCAGAGAATCTTTCTGAATCATCTCAGTCAAGCTTAAAATACTATTTGCCTTCTAAAGGAATTACAAACTGAGACTGAAATGTTAATTGTGACTTCAGGCTATGGTGCCCTATGCAGGGTCTAAATCAACATTGTCTGAAAGTGAAGCCTCAGGTGTACTTGAAGCTTCTATAATACAAATAAGCTAGTCTGAACTAGTCTTAGTCTTTTGAAGACAATAAGTAGTTTTTATGCTGATTAGGATTTATTTTTCTGGCTGTAATAGCTTGATGACATTTCTTAAGTTTTGACAGTTTATCTTGCTGAATGCCTTACTAGGCCCAGCATGTTTTATTTCATTAATATTTTACTGTTGCAATGGGAAAATACAGGTCAATATGTATGCATCATCCCATAAACTGCTCATTCTGAGGCAAACTAATGATTCCTTCATTTTACATGTCAAATAAAAAAGCCCCACGTCTATATTTAGATAACTTGCTCACGAGATATGGCAAGATATTCTTACTCAGTGCACAGCACGGTGAGTTGGCAGGGATGGTGTTTCACATGACTGATAATGCAGAAGTTTCTCTTGGTATTGCTGTGGACAAAGAATTGTGATGAAGAGGGAACAAGATAGAGATAGGTCACAGTATCCCCAAAGTTCCTATCAGAAGAGCCACTTAAGCGTTACTGCGTGGTTGTGGTATTTTAGAAAAGAGGAATTCATATATGTTAGAAAATATTCTGTTTATTTAAAGATTTACTATTTCCAGAGACACTTAAAGGCTACAAGGCATTTCACTATATCCAAAGATAAGTTTAAGAGAACTGTACATCCACTTACGTTAAAGATGACATCAGAGGTAAAAGTACAGAAAAGAGTAATCAGTAAATATAAAACTGCTTTCTGTTTCACCAGAAAAGCCATAACATTTACAAGGAAAGGTTAAGGCAAAAGGTATGAGGAGAATCATGTATTCTCCAGCACGTGGCTGATAAGTGCAAGTCAACACAGTGACTTTGTCACCATTTTCTCTGAAGAAGAAACACAACTGCAGATACCATCAGAAGGGCATCTACCCATGGCTACAGTATTGCATCCTGTCCCTGAACTGGCACCCTGTTTAATTCTGGAAAACGGCTGGGTGCGAACTGATTTATTAATCATCTAATCATCCAAGGGGATTTTTTTCTTTAAAAACCAAAGAAAGAAGGAAAAAAATTTTAAAAATAACCACCAAAAAAAGCCTCAACAAAATATATCAGGTGGAAGAACCAGAGAGCTGTAAGCTGAGCACATACAGGATAAAGAGTTATGGGGGTTACTAAAGATGCTTTAGTAGAGCAGATACCATATGCAAGATTTTGTAGATGGTTCTCTCAGCTCTCGTAGTTTCCTTTAAGTGAATAGTAGGTGCATCCACACCACAAAAGCCAGGAAAGGAGCTTACTACTTAAATGTTGTGATTCATAGGAAGAAAAGAAACGTATACAGTGACTGGCTGTCATTTGTGGACACTTACTAAACATCCTAAATCACCACTAGTTAATTATTAACATTTTTAAGTAGTTTTTTTAGTGAAACTTTCTATTAGATAAGCTGATTAATCTTACATTTAGAAAATGCTTCACACAACACAGGCCATCTAATTTGTTCTTCATCCTTCACTGGTGATGGGATTATGTTTGCACAAGTAGAATACAGCCTCAGATAGAAGTATTCTTGTTTCTGACTTCCAAAAGGGTGGGATTTTTAAAACTTTAAGTTCTGGCACAGCTGCCCTGAAAAGTTTAAATGGGAAATGACAGGAAAGTCTGGGAGTGGGCATCCAGTAGAATATGCTTGGGCAAAAGAGCAGTGATGTCACAGGCATTTCCTTGATGAGAAGGAATCTTAGTTAAAGGAAATTGAAGTGGCAATTAAAACAAATCTTAGGGATAGGGAAAGGGGCAATAAAATGTCTGTTAACAAAATTAAAATTTAATGAATAATGGACTAGAAAGTGAATTTCAGTGTGGTCAGGGATAAAGTGCTTAATACATTTTGCAGAGGTAGATTCAGTGGCAGATGTGGATAGTAAAACTGAGTAATTTAGAAAGGAAGGAGTAGCAGTATTATTTCTGTTGCAGGTTTTGACTAAAGCTGGGGGATATATCTACCTGATGTCATGCTACAGATGTAATAAAGATGTTTGTCATCTATAAAATAAAATATGAGATAGCATCTGCTGAAAAAAACATTCTCAGGCCAACTTGACTGTGAATTATATAGATTAGACAAGGAGTTTTCTGAATTGCTGAAGTTAATGAGTAACTGCAGAAGTCTTAGTTTCCTGCTAGCTCCAGTAAAAAGCTGCTTTTTTGGCTTCATGGAACTCCTGGAGACTCTTTGGGAACTGTCCCTGGCATGCGCCATGCGCTGTTGTCATCAGCACTCATCTCTCTGGTGGCTGCTCTTTTCCTGCATGAAGCTGTTAACTTCCAAATGGAAATAAATGGGTGTCTCTGCACCCACGGTGCTGTAGTCTTGGCTCCGGACCTCATTTGAACTCGGTGATGACTTTACAGTAATCGCCTTCCTTCCCCTGCTCCATTTGGTTCTGGGAGACAGTAACTGCTTGGGAGTTTCCTGAGTCCTTCCTGTGTTGTCGTAATAGAACAAAGCTATTTTAATTTTCTCTCTGTCTTCATGGCTGACCAAGGTCTGTCCACAGGCCAGCTAATCTTGTCTTCTCTAAATATATTTCTATTTGTGATCAGCATTTGTGTGTTGATTTTTTTGGTCATTGGTGATGTTTGTTTCTTTGTTTAACTCTGTCTTAAGCATTGTCTAATCAACACCTTGCTGTGGCAGAATCCCCTCCCTTGAACTGCTGGCCACACTGCTTTTGATGCAGCCTAGTGTATGATTTGGCTTTCTGGGCTTCAAGTGCACATTGCTAGGTCGTGTGGGACTTCTTGTCCACCAACACCCCCAAATTCTTCTCCTCAGAACTCTTCTCAATCCATTCTTCACTCAGCCTGTATTTGTCATCCCTGATGCAGTTGTTTAGCACATGCATTGAGGAACAGCCCGGTGTATATTCACAAATCTAGAATTACAGACAGAAAGCTCCAGTCCAAGTCCCGTATCTGAAACAAGACCTGCTCCTATCAGATAGAGGATAGCAAAATGGCTGTGATCTTTCTTTATCCTTCTGGCACACAATACAAATGTTGCACTATACCTCCAGTAGGGGAATAGATTTATCAGACTTTTTTTATTAGGCAAACTCTGATGGACAAGAATAATATAAATACTCCAAAGGTACCGTGGCTTTTGCACACTGTCAATGAGCATTGTATCAATTCTAGCATAGACAAATAATTGCTGAGTTTTGAGTTCACTGTGGAAAAACCTACTGTCATTTTCAGACTGCCCACTACTGTTCTCAATATTTCTGATAACAAGTATACCATTTATTGTGGTGTAAAACCAAAAGTTCTTGATATAAATAGAGTATTATATGTTTATTGACTATACATATTTTAATTTTAGGTCCTTAGAAGACCACCATGATCATCCTAATGTGGTAGTGGGAGATATTCAATCAGATGAAGAAGATATCATGAACAGTTCTGATGAAGATGATGACACAAATTCTGATTCCAGCAAAGGGGAGACTGATCCTCAAGAAGATAAACAGGTATCTTTTTATTTTTATCTTCTGAAGCTATTCCTCGCTCTTATACTATTTCATAAGTTGTAACCTGTTGAGATATTTTCAAATAAAAGGCATTAAATCAACATAACTTTATGTATTTTTTATCATTGTTATTGTTTAGTGGTTGGTTTTTTCCTAGAAGTTTAATTTAATATGTGCATATTAGCCTGACATTAAGAGGTCAAGTTTAAAAATATCCACTACAAAGTGTGTTTTGCCTGGCATAATTGCTCTCACTCCTTCACTGAATCATGGAGCTGTAGACCTTCCTACCATACCCCTCTAATGGAACTACATGCACAGATTTACATTTAGAGATCTTCAGTTCTGAGACTTATAAATAGCTTTTAACAAGGTTGTCTATAATTCACAGATCCTACAGTGCACAGTGTCTCTTGTGCACTGAAAATTTAAAATCACCTCTGTGGCCCTTGGAGGAGTGTAAGCCACATTTGACTGTTGGGGTTGAGATCTGACCTTCTACTAGCTTCTGTGACTGCCAGCTTGGACTGATTTCCCTTATTTTAATCTTATTACTTCTTCAAGTGAGGAGCAAGAAGACAGTGCTAACTACTCCAAATGTAATGAAGTTTTGAGGGTCCTATCCCTCTCCTTGGGGATACTCACGTTCTTATTTCTCAGTCCTGGATGCCTTGAAACCAGCCTGCCCATAGACCAGTGCCTCTCCTCAGCATCAGTCTTGACAGCTGTTTCCTTTGATATATTTGCTTCCTCTCCTTATAAATAATTAAACAAAACAAGCAAAAAAAACCCCACAAAACCAAAGCCCCAACAAAAAAAACAAAACACAAACAAAAAACCCCAATGAAACTTGTTAGTGTTGGAAGAGAAGCTTGATGTGTCAGACCTGGATGTTGTTTAACCAAATGAGAGGAATAAATTGGGAAAGGGAAAGAATCACAGGAAAAACTTGTTCCTGTGAAACTAAACAAGACTGTACCTGTATAAAAGCTAACTTACCTTGTGTGCTTTTAGAGGTGCCCCGAACCTTTCACAATGGAGTTTTACAGGAAAGTGTCCCCATTAGGAGCATTCTTGGGCAGGTTTTACTGAGTAATTCAGCGCTTGCTGTGAGGCATCTGCTGTGGGCTGGCTCCAGCTGCTTTCAGCACGTGCGGGCCGGCAGCTGGGGATTAACAACCAGCTTCCTCACAGGCAGAGCAGCTGCAGAGGAGAATGAAGTAGTCTGCACCGGTCATCAGCTGGGCTTGTTTTTATTTTTCCTTACCACAAGCATCTGACTATTTTGATGCTTTATATCTGTTAGGGGATTTAAAAGGCTCCTTTCCAGCGCTGTGCCTAAGAGCCCTGTTTGTACCCTTTTGGTTCTCCCGTTAGAGACTCTCAGAGCCAGAGTATCTTTGGCTGAGCAAATGCAAGGTGGCCTTTTCAGTTTCAGCTGGTATGTGAAAAGTATTTCAAATGGGGTTGAAAACAGACTGTGATATTTCATTTTGTAATTGTTTAGCGGTAGCATCTTGTTCTCAAAATACTAATTTTCATCTCATTTGCAACTGTCACATCTACAGTGATGGCAGATACCTTGCTCTGCATAATTGACTTACTTGTGAATTCAGTCCTGTAGGGTGCCTGTCAACTGTGCTTTCCACAGAGGCCTGAGGATAGGTGTTACAATCTCACTTGAATGCAGTTAACCCTCACTGGATAGATCTAAGTTTAATTTCAGAGGTCAAATCCCAGCTCTGTGTGCAGATGTCTACATTGCATATAAAATAAGTAATGTATTTGTACATATGTGATGCAACACCAAATTATTTAATGTTGAAATTAATTTTAGTAATAAGGCACGATGTCATTTGAATTCAAATTAAAAAGTTCAATTAATTTTTTTTTATTTTGAATACAACAATATCGTTAAAACCAACCTATGAGTATCATCTGTTCCATGGTTTCATTTCCAGCACTTGACATTTATTTACAGGTTTGGAGAAGAACTAAATAAGTTTCATGGATATAATGTCACCAATATCTTATTTTCTAGACAAACTGTTCAGTGCCTTTATTATACTACGATACTCAATACAGCCTCCCCAGGATTTCCATCTCACTTGGGATGTGTATCCCGGGATGCTTTAGTGCTCCTCATCCATGCTCTTTCTTCACAGTCCATTAAAATGAAAGCCTGAATGTGTAATAGATGTGGTGACAGCTGGCAGCAGAGAAGCATATGGCAAACCTTGAGAGCTGTTTTGGAGAAAGGTGTTTTATCTGAGGGAAATTGTATGTGGGAGCTACACTGTGTAGCGAACACTTCTGCATCCTGATGCCTGCCCCCATTTGCTTTGTTAAACCTGATCACTCTATCCAATGTTGAACAGTAGCATTGATTTTTTGAGAGCCAAATGTGCGCATAAAAACCAACATCATCTCCACAGTGTTTCAGGTAGGTGACAAGGCTCACGCTTCTGCATCTTTGCAGCACAGTTCCTATGTATTCCAGCAGCTTCTTTAATAGTCAGAAGCTGACTTTTCAGTGTGTTCTCCTTTCCTCTCCTTTCATCTTGTTTTTCAGTAAAGAAAGTGCATGTGTCTTTTGAGATGTTCCTGAAACACCTTTGAGTTCACCACAAATATTACTGTTGCTGTATTAATCAGGAAAAAAATATCAAATAATGTAGAAATATTATCTGTACTTTAGTACTTTTGCTAAATAGTAACTGTTATTTGCTAGGACTTTATCCATTATGGGCTTCAGTGCTTCCTCTAATAATCAAATGAAAAGGCTGATAGTGTTGTAAAAACTAATCTTAGCTAATATTGTTGTTTCCAGCTACAAGCTAAATTGATTTTCTCACAAATCCTGAAAAGACAGAAGATTTCAAAGCCAAGATCTTTCAAAGCAGTGTAAAATGTTTTTCTTAGAAATAACTTGAATAAGTGCATTGGATTTGAGGAACTACTAGTTGGAAATGATCTTTATGACCATTTTAGTAGATGCATGGTATAACATATAATTTTATTTGCAGAATAAGGCAGCTGGAAAGAAAACAAAGGTTTACCATATTGCCAAGGAGATCATGAGCTCAGAGAAAGTGTAAGTATAAACATAACTAAACATAACAGCTACTCAATTTATTTTAATTAGGCAATTAAAATGTAACTATTTGCTTTTTTCTTGCTTTTCTGATAGGTTTGTGGATGTGCTAAAACTCTTACACATTGTAAGTACTCAAAAAACAAGTAGTTTCCTCTTATATTTGTTTAATCTATTAAAGTTTTATGTTTAGGTTTTATTGTAGTGACTGTGCCTTTTTTCTGCTGTCTACATATTCAAAATATAAAAATTAATCTAATTAAGCTGAACTTTAGTCTCACATTTTATATAATGCATGAATATTTTGATGGTTCCTTCTGCATCTCCTTAATAAATGTATACAGTCTTCCAGTTGAGCATGGGTTTTGCTTGAAGACTGAAAATGGAATATATATCCATTTATGTTAATCAAGATCGTATTTTTAAGCCAGCTTGTATTGGCTTATAAATATGTACGTAGTAACAAAAATAAAGTTTCTTGTTAGAATAACTCTTTAAGTGGTGGGGGAGGCAGGAACAATTTACCTTTAGAAATGGTACATTAAAATGCACATTCTTTAAGTAATCCAGCTAATAGCTGTAATGGTGCATCCATCACCATGGGGGCCTTTTTTTCTTTTGGGCTGCAGTTCCTTGACAGATGTTTGCTTCTGATAACAGCTTCGATTGTAGTACCTGCAATGTGTTGTCTACAGCAAGGGTTAAGTATTTCAGCCATGTTTATGCAGATCAGTTGTCTGTAAACATGCAGTGTCGAAGGTGATAATAGTAAATCAATGAAGAATTTTTCTTTCTCTAGCTCAGTTTTATATGTTTTCTGTCAACTTCTTAATGGTATGTGTTTGTACCATTTTGTCACTCTATTAAGTGCAAGCATAGTGATGTTTTTTCTGGAGCAACAGAAGTGGTTATATTGCAACCAGATGCGTTGCTCTATCTCAGTCTCTTGAGAAGCACGTTCTATGAACCTGGGAACAAAGGTTCTTATAGATGGTTGTATACAGTCTTGTAATAGAGAGATCTTTTCAGGAAACAAAAAACTTACCACACCATTTGCTGATTGCTCTTTTGGTTTCCTCCTAGTAATTGATTTTCTGATTCTGTTCAAGCTTGGTTTTTAAAAGCTGGATCAAGCAGTTGCGGCCAATATATAATTTATATTCAACATGTTTCTGGCACAGAACTCAAGCTTAAATACTGGTTAAAGGAAGAGAGTTGTCCTGGAAAAGTTTTAAGCTGTATCATTTTAAATTATCATATTTTTCAGGCATGTAACTTATTTGTTAAAGGTGTCTTTGTTTATTAGTGTATTAGTTTTTCAGGTAATGTGCAGTACTGGAAGAAAAGGCTGAGGAGGAGAATACAGGCAAGCAGGGGAAGAATGTGAGAAAGGGCAAATAGTGGGGAGCTTAGTGAATTTCTAAGATAAAGTTGTCCTCACACTGTAGAAGTGCAGTGGTGTAGGATGTGTTTTGCTTTTCCTTTAATGGATAACTTGCAACTCTTCATGACAGTGTGCTAGTTCCTAGCTGCCAAATAAAAGCTATTAGAATGTTTTTATTGGCTAGCAATAACAATCAACATGTATTCAGCCTGGTCTAACAGAGGGGATGCTAGGCTAGAAGTTGAGGAAATACTTTGTCCTCAACTTGTTGGTTGGACTGCAGCAGGAACCTTGATGAGTGTCCTTGTTATACTGGTTTTTAGGCTCTGTGTGAATGGTTCTTAATTAAATAAAAATTGCCATTGCTGAGAAAGGTTGCAGAAACATGTTTTTTTATTTCCACAGAGTGGTATGCCTGGGGATTTGTGTATGTTTGTCACAGATGTTATTAAATCTGTTATTAAATCTGTTAAACTTAATAATATATTTCTTATGGATGATATTTTAATGTTGATAAAACTATCCTGTAGATTTCATGTCTGCTGAACCACTTTGGCTTACTAGATTCAGTGTCAGAATTACAAACTGCCAGTCAAGCAATCTCTGACAAATTTCTAGAATTAGAACTTAGATTGCCCCCAGGCTGGGTTGTTTTACCCATAGTAAAGATTTAACTGGTCAGGGGATGTTCTGTTACACCTTCCGACCCATCTATTAGTCATTTAGCAACTAATTCCATTCACAATGATATTAAATTAATACTATTCTCCTCGGTCTGTTTTACCAATGCCAGTTAAATGCAGCTCATGGCATTTAATAGAGCCAAGGAATAGGACTGTTGGTGTAAGAAAAAGGTTTTTAATTTGCTATGACTTAGAGCCTTAGAAGTGGAGCCTAAAGCAGCTGAGAAGGTGGGAACGTGATTGCAAACTTCTTACAAGTACCATTGGGGTTTTTTTAGCATTTTTTTCTTTTATATTGACAAAGTCAATTAGGTGGAACAACTCTTCAAGATACCAGGGTGCCAGCATATGCAGACACTGTCGCACACTATAAGTTCATCTGACTGCTTTTGTTGAAGACATACTAGAAAAGTCTCAAGAAAATTAAAAAACACTTGAAGACACTTCTATAAATACTAAATAAGCTGGTTATAGCAGAGATAAGGGACTCATCTGGCTTTCCACACTCTATCAAACAGACTCGGTGAATGGGATTGCTTGGGGCTGTAATCAAACATTAGATGTAATGCTCTTTCAGGGGACAAGATTCCAGTGAAATGCTTTTGGAAACTCCTGAAAACAAAGGGGGTTAAATTAAATGAACTCTTCTGTATGCATCTTTGTGAGATGGTTCATGCACGGTCCCCTGGGGGTAAAAAAGGGTTGAGAAGATAGAAGTGCTGTTCCTTCCCTAAGGGCACTTGCAGAAAAAAGAAACAGTGAACTGGCTGTAAAGCAAAATTGACATAGGAGTTGCTCTCTGCCCAAAAAACACCTGGTGTTCTTGGAAAAGGAGTAAGGCAGTGTTGGCGCCCTTTGTGCTTTTTTGTTGTGGCATTCTCTGGAAATTGTTAGCTTTGCACAAATGAGAGGACCTCCTCAGCAGCACCCTGGTGCCCTAAGGGTAAGCTGCCTGGCTTATTTGTTGTCTTTTTTTTTGGTCTGAATTTTGTTCTTTTGCCAAAACCTGCCACTCCTGTTGTTATTCCAACGTTTTCAATTTTGTTTCCTCCCTGCTGTGATGGCATAAGCAGCAAGGCGTCTGGTCCAGCAGAAGACTTGCTTTTTTGGGATGACTCCTTCACTTCAAGGCTTAGTGTATAATTTTTTGCTGTATGAAAAGAAAAACTTAGGCCTGTGGGCTTTTGCATGAGCCTTTAAATCTGTGCTTCTGACTTAGACCTCTGTTCTGTCCATATTAGAACTCTCAGACCAAGTAAGTAGGAGCTGTCAGGAGGCACCTCTTATCGTTTCTGCAGCCACAAGATCAGCCTCTTCTGGGAAAAGGCAGATAAGAGGTTGAACGTCTTTTTTTTTTCTATTGTGTGTCCTTCCAGATACACTTAGAAGAGTGAAAAATTCTGATTTAATGTTTCCATTTTTCAGAAGACAATTGCAAAATTCTGTCTATAAAAACTATATACATCTATAATCTATCTATATATATATAAACTTGTTATTTTGTATATTATAGCCAAATATTGTGAAAAATAATTCGTAGTAAATTTGGAAAAAGAATGTGATGAAAATATAGATTAAAAAAATTAATAGCTATGGGCTTTGGAGCAAAGGAAGTTCTGACCTCTGGTCCTGGCTTACAACTGACCTACTGTTTGGCTGTGAAAAATTCTCTCAACCTCCAACTTCTTTTTCTCCATCTGTAAAATTCCAATACTTGACCAGTCTGAGGTGAATATGTCGACAAATTTTTAGTCTCTGAAGTGCTTTAGAATTGCTGATTAGGGTATTTGACAATGAGTTGCAACTTCTTATCAAGAAGACTAATGAAACAGTTTAGGTTTAGAAGGAAACATTGTTCTACTACCCAGCCTATTCCCTGAAATAACATTCTGGGAAAATGCCACGGTCAAATCATTGGTTGTTGTAAAAAATTAACTATCTTATGTTGTTAAAGACTTATAAATTATTTTACTACCTGAGAAAAAAAATGCGTGAAACTACTTGGCACCTTTCCAGAAGTAATCTCATATGTTTGAAAAATGTCTCAATCCACACTTAGTCATAGTCTTCATTAACTATACTTGCTGTAGTTTAACTTAGCTAATAGTCTGACTCTTGCTAGGAGTGCCTATTTATGTTTTAAATACTGTATTTGGGAAATCTGTAGCTGTATTCCTAAGCAGTCATGTTTACAGTTTGTCATATCTAGCAGGCTGGCTGTTCCCCAGAGCGTGAAACATCTTCCCCTTCCCTCCTCCCTCCCCATAGGATGTCTGTGTGTGTGTGTTCCTTGAAAAGCATCCAAGTGCAAACATACTTTTTTTCCTTAAATTAAACTGATATTTGAGCTATCTGCAGGTGCATTTAGCTGGAAGTTGTACCTCAGCGGAAGGGATTATGACTTATTTTTATTTTGCTGATGGTATTTTTTGAGATAACAGGTCCAAGATGAATGTTGGTTGAAGACTTAGGAAAATACGTGACCATGTTTAGATCATGTAGTACTTTCTCCTCCTGTTAAATTTCCAAGAAGTTTTAATTTCATCCATTTGAAATTACGTGCGTTCAGCTATTAGATACCTGAAGGTTCATTTAACCCAGCCAGCAGGTGAGGGAGGGTTTTGTCTGCTCTATACCTCTTGATTTACAACTAAACTTGTTCCTTTGCTCCTTAGACTGATGTGGGTAGGTCACTTTGCTGTGGGCTGGGAATCCTCCAGTGGAAAGAACTGGGAGGGGTTGTGAGTCAGGGCCTTTGCAGAGGGGAAGTGCTGACCGCATATGATTCACAACAGGGTCAGAATTATTTCAGATATCATGGCACTTTGCTTATTTAAGGAAGCTGCATTGAAGGGGAGGTGGGAGGAAACACAAGTAGCGATGGTGGTATCCTTCTCAAATACTGCACAGCTCTAGGGGGAGTGTATACTAATAGGATAAATAAAATTCCCCAAACGTTTTCAAGTTAGAAGTGTTATATCTGCAGTAATTTGGCAGCATTATGTACTCAGAAGCCCTTAATATGCCTAGACTAGATTTTCAAATGGACAAGTAGCCAGCAGGATGCTATCTCAGTCTAGAATAAACTGAAACTGTTCCTGGTTTGGAAAGAATGTTCTTCCCAGGGGTGGTGATGGGTGGTGTCCTCTGGAAGTAGCTGTGTGAAGACAATTACCTTTACCTAAGCAGTAAAATGTGGTATCATAAGATTTTTATTGGACCAGAATATAATGTAGAAACTGTAAACAAGCATTTCAGAAAGTGTACAATAGCCCCCCTCTTTTAAAAGGAAAAAATCATCCTGGTAAAAAGCTGAGATGATTCAGTATAACTAGGATGATATTCTGGGTTTTGTCATGCAGCATATGAAACTTGTCTAGAGTTGCAAATGTTTTTCAGTGAAATGAGCACATTAATTCCAAAGCGAGGCAAGCTGGGGTTGTGTTGGTTGGTTGGAGGTTTTTTAATGAATAAGAAAGTAATATTTGAAAGGCTCATTTTCAATTAGAAAATCTCTTTAAAATTCACTGTAATGAATTGCTGCAGTGCTTCAAACAGAATAATTTCTAGGACAACCTAGGTGATTGTCTTTGAACAGACTGATGAAAGCAATGCTTTTCAGCAGTGTTATATAGAACTATGTGCTAAATATGTTTGCAATGTAAATCACTTCACCCAGGCATATATAGATATCAGAGCAATGTATATATTATTTGCAAGAACAATTCTGTTTTAATTTAGTAGTGAGCAGATTTAGTTCTAGAAGGAGCTAGGTTCTGGTGCTTTCAATTACTTTTACTGCAATTCCTAATTTGTAAGTCTTTCATCTAAAAAGTTGTCATCTGAATACCTTCCACCCTTTGGAGTGAAATTTCAGGGTTTACTTTGTAAGTTAACATATTTTACATCTGGTAATTAAAACAGACCTGTTCTATGTTTTGTCATTTTGGATAAGAAATTACTTTCTCAGAAGGCCAGTACCTTCAAGTGTAAACACTGTTAACTCCAACCTTGTTACATTTGTTTGACTTTTCCCACCCCCAATCCCGAGGCATGTGCTCTCTGCCCTCAACTCTTAAGTTTATCTCAAGATGAACTTGGCATGACAGTTACTTCACACCCACTGCCAGGTTAAAAATAAATCTTAATATGATTACAATGACAAATGCATAGTCAGTAGTGAAGACTTGATAATTAAAAAAAAAAGCCATGAAGTTTGCCTCATGTTGTTTCACAGGCTGGTTCACGTAATTTGAAAGCTTCATGTTATCTTTTTTCCCTGCATTTCCTCTCTGCAAAGCTTCCTCAGTTTACTCAGTTGTGGAAGGGGGCAGAGGGGGTGATGAAGCAAAGTTTTGGTTGGCTGTTTTAATGATAGAGCCTTTCATGGTATGATCTAAACCCTGATGAAGCTGATGGACTTTGGATCAAGCTAGTTGAAAAACCAAATCTGTGTTTGGAAAACACCCTGCAGACTCTTTGAATGCTGTATCTAGAAGTTAAATAAATGCTCTTAACTACAGATGACATTCCTGTGTTATCTAGTGCTTAAACCTGGCTCCCTGCTCTCCTTTTATTGTTTGGTCAGGGGAAAGCCTGGGTTGTTGATTACTGTACAGACAAAATGCTTTTCTTTTCGTCGTGCAAGTAGTTGTATGACATTCATACAACATTCTTGTTTCATCCTATGGCAAAGTACATACAGTATATTGTATGTGCATGTGTTTGGGGGAAGGGGCGAGGAGAAGATTATCATAATATGATAATGCATTTTGCATGAAGCTCTCCAGAATGCCTCATTTGAGCTTTTGCCATTGTAATTCCTTGTATCATTTCAGTGTTAAGCAATGCCCTAGGGTCAGAAAAACCCATAAGATGCAGCTGGTAGTTAACCTATGTGTCACTAGTCTGCACAGAGGATGTAAAACAGAACATTTCCATATGAATAATGCCATCTGTTTTTTAACTCCCTTGCATTTATTTCTCAGCCTTCCCCCAGCACAGCCAGTGCCCTGTATCTCCTTTCAGTTTCTTGCCAGAACTGCCCAGCCACAGCCTTTGTGACCCAGAGGGTCACAAAGCAAGAAAGTGTGTCTGGAGCTCACGCTGCCCAGAGCTGACATAATGAGGAGAGAGAGCAGGGAAAATTGAGGTTTAAGTTTGAGGGACCCTAAATAGTGCCAGATGCTGTATGGATGAGGTAGCTAGTAAGACTGGTAGTAATAGACCTGAGGAGAAGGAAAAGAGGGGATTAATTCCCCCCCCCCGCCCCCAACCCGAGGACACTACAGATTTTCAAAGGCAGGTGTGGACCCCATGCACATTTAAAATATAACTCATCATTGTACTTAAAAGTATGTTGATGTCACCTTTTTCAGCATACCAAGAGAATTGTGCATGTGCTACCAGGTTTCATTAACCACAAATTCAGAAAGAGCTATTATGTATTGATTCTCTTTTGTCCGCTGTTGCCCAAATTCAGGTGAGACATGATGCCACCTAATTTGTATTTTCTTTTTTGTCAGTTTCAACAGTGTTGTTTTTCAAGTGAAATGCTAAATTACTAACCTTCTTGGAAGTTTTGTTTGCATGTAAATAGAGAAAATACCTCGTGTAATAGATACTGAGTTTCAATCCTGGCCATGCGGACTTGTGTGGGGCCAAGATTTTAGTTCTGAATAGTTTAATAAGGATCAACCAGCCTCATCTCTGTCCTGTTGGGAGATGGTTTTAGCATAAAACTGCTATAAGATTCTTCAAGAGTGAACAGGGTTTTCCTTTCTCCCTCTAAATGTTTGGAAGATACCGGTGTTAGTTTTGATCATTGCTAACATTTGAAATCTCATGGGTCCCATATGTTATTACAGTATCTTTTTGTTAGATGTTAATTTTCCTGTATATAGAAGAGCTGCTACATATAGTAATTTTTTGTAACCCTACATTTTGTCCACGAGGAACATCTTCCAAAATGGCTTTTGTAGATGACTTATGAACACTACTATGATTTTTAAGTATGATACTATGATCATATTAGTGATATAACAGTTTTGCTTTTTGACTTACATATTTGCATGAAGACACTCAAGGCTGCCAACAACCTTGCAGATACAAGCTTTGTTTATCCCTCCTTGGTTTCCTCATATGTAATACCAGCACATTTCTTAAGGGTATGTTGTAAAAATAATGAAAAACTTCTATATTATGCATACAGGAGCAAGAAAGTAAAGCTCCAGTGTTAAACCAAAGGGATTAAAGCAGTCCCAGGGGAGTAAATTGAAGCTGCAGGGAAACATAACCCAGATGGTACCCGCCTTGCCTTTGGTAATAGGGAGCAGCGCCTGGAATGTCTGCAATGAGAACTCCATTGTGCTCTCTGTGTTGGTGCTTTGAAGGCTGTTCACTCATGGCAAGGGGGGTTTCTGTCCTCTTTGTACTCTGGCAGGATTTCCGGGATGCTGTGGCGCATGCCTCTAGGCAGCTTGGAAAGCCAGTGATTGAGGACAGAATCCTGAATCAGATCCTCTATTACCTACCTCAGCTCTACGAACTCAATCGGGACCTCCTGAGGGAACTGGAAGAGCGATTATCTCACTGGTGACTATCAATAAAGGGATACCACTCCTTTGATGTTGAAATTTATCTGTGGTGTTTATGTGACTCCATGTGATCATGGCTTGACTCTTGTTTGTGTTTTATGTGCCTTCTTAAATGACAGAATTTACTTTGAAAGTATAGGAGATTATTTTTCATTTAGATGTGCTTGTTTGCCGTTTACATGTATACAAAGGTCCACAAGGCATGCCAATACATTTTTGTAGCAATCACACTATTTATTTAAAATTTTATTTTTAATTGAAAGGTCTGGTCCTTGTATGAGCATAGTAAGTGCACTGATTTCATTAGGGGAAAAGGAGGTTGTCCTGAAGACTAGTTCACATTTTAGAGGTAGTTTAGATCTACTGATCAGAAACAGCACTGATTGACAGCCACAATCGCCTTGAAGTCCATTCTCAGTTACTGTGGTGGGTGGATCCAAATCAGCAATACAAAACCTACTGACAAAGGCACTGGAATGGGTAAAGACTTGCTGTTAAGTTTGAAGATCCATTTCCTCAGAAATCAACCTTGTACTAAAGTGTTCAAACAGTTCAAGACCATTTAAAAAAGACTGTGTATTAAGTGGTTGCCATCTAACACTAGTGTGTTGATGTGTGCCTAATAAAGTTTTTCAAAGTAGCTACTGAGATGGGTGCCTATCTGCTGCACTGTAAGCTTTTGTTCAGAACATAAACTAGCACATCTTACTCTGAAAGGGATAGATGTTTTGCTGTAGGATTATGTGTGCTATTTTTAGCTCTAACTGCGCCTTTTTTTGTCTATTTCTAGGCTTGAACATCAAAGAATTGCTGATATATTTGTTAAAAAGGGTCCCTACCTAAAGATGTATTCAACTTACATCAAAGAATTTGATAAAAATGTTGCATTATTAGATGAACAGTGTAAGAAGAATGCAGGGTTTGCTTCAGTAGTCAAAGACTTCGAGGTATTGTATTCTTTTGTAAGATATATCCTGTTTTGTGACTTTTTAGCAATTGTGATCTTCCGCAAGGCTTTAGAAACTGTCCTCAATTTTTTTGTGTTTTGGTGGTGGGTCTTTTCGCTGCAGTCTTGGATTGAGACATGAAGAATACAAGAGGCCTTTTTAAGGACTTGGTGTTTCAGATTCGCATTATTTTGAATGCAAATTCAGGATAATTAGCATTTTTGAAGCATGGATCTTTTAATTCTGTGTCGTCTTTAGAAGTGTGGATTAATTAAAACTTCTGCAGTGAGCACTCCTGTCTTCTCTGCCTTTTTGCCTAATGAACACTGAAGGGATCACAAAGGAGCATGTTGCCCTTGCCACCCTGTTTCCTTTATTTCTGGCAAGTTTCACCTCTCATCCTCCTGAGGCAAAGCACCTGTTATGAATCCACAGCATATGAGCGCTTACTGATATATTTTAACGCATGGGTAATTTTGCATGCAGTCTTCCACACAGAAATGCTTGCTCTGTAGTGTGGTGTTTAACACTGGTGTGGTGTTTAACACTGGTGGTCACACTTCTTAATGATAAATCTTATCCAATATAATCAGTAGTTGTTTTTAGGCATGTTTTCTTTTGCTGGAGCCTTTGACGGCCATGGAATCATTTCTTTTGCATGTTTCTTTCAGATGAGCCCTCGCTGTGCTAGTCTGGCCCTCAAGCATTATCTGCTCAAGCCAGTTCAGAGGATTCCCCAATACAGGCTCCTGTTGACAGGTACAGTCAAGCTCTTTGTCAAGCTGAACAAGCCAGTCTTCACACGCCCCAGGAAACCTGTTTTCAGGCAGTTGTGTATCCATCTGTAAAGCATGTTTATCTGACTTTGGATATGTGAGGCTTTTTAAAAAACATGGCACAATATATGCAGCTCTTTTTAAAACATGGCATGGGTTTAGAGGCTTTCGTTGTTAATATTGATTGAGCTAAGATACACAGGCAAGGTGCTAATATTTCTAACACTGTGGTGTGTTCTGATGGTACATTTAGCAGTACATGGAAAACATGAAACCTGTGGTGGTTTTTGTTTATGTCGTAATAGAAGCCTGTCATTTCCTTAAGGGTTGGAATGCTCTTGTTTTGCTTTGGGTTTTCCTTTTTTCGGGTGGGGGGGGGCGCTGATGGGTGATTTTTCTTCTTTAACGAATGAAAAGGGCAGTATGGAGAATCGGAGCCAGGAGAAGAAAGATGGCTATGCAGCTGTGAACTTCTGGTAGTAGCTTCTCCGTTTCTCCCCCACCCAGGTGTTTTGACCGTAAAATCCATTCTGTTTTAAAGGCAGAACACATGTTTTTAGTGTACATTTACAAGTGCTTAAGGCTTGTTACGGGGGCATTGTACGCTAAGGAGCTGGTTTGGGACTAGGAAATCTGGGCTCTGTACCCTGCTCTGGCACTGGCATGTTTGGGTGACCTTGAGCAAGTCATCTCCATGATGCAGTGGGTTTTTCTGTCTGTAAGAGGAGGGCAGTGACAGAGGCCTCCTTTGTGAAGTATTTTGAGATGTGTTTGTTGTAAGAGGGGGATGGCTCCTGTAAGGATTTGGAAATACTTAAGGCATTGTTTTTGAGAGCCATTGCTTCTTGATGAGCAATTTAAAAATAGCCTCTGTTTATGTAGTAACTGCAAAATAAAATGCTCTGTGACCTTTTTTTTTGGCTCTGTAACAGCTCATTGGCATTTCCCCAGCAAGTACTTAGGCTAGTGATGCTGTGGGAGATACAGACTAAAGTGTTAAGCAGCAGTTACCAAGTTATTAACAGTGACTGTTTTCATTTTAATCATCTCATTAAACTCACAGGTGTTGAAAAAAGGGGGAAAACTCCTTAAATGGAATACTTTATAGGGGAAAATCTTAATGACTCTTAACTGATGAAATTAAACAATAAATGGCATTTGGGGACCTGCTTTATTTTAAAAGGATATTGACTTAGGACATGGTATAGGCTTGTTATACACTTCAAAATCAGGAGAGCTTTGGATAAGTTCAGAGGTTTTAATTGAAAAGGTTGAACAAAGGATCAGAATAGAGCAAATGCCAGTGTCAATATACACAGCAAAGCGAGAGATGTCAGGGATAAATGGCACTGAACAAAACTCAGATGTTGAAGGGCAATTCTTCGTGATCATTAGCTGTCACTGTGGCTGGAACAGGCTGTTTTAGACCCTAAAAACCCCTCATTCTGTGTTGATGGGGGGTTGCTGTGGATGTCCCCAGTCTGCACACCTTACTGTGGTTGCCCAGCTTTAAATACACCTGTAAATGCTATTGAAAGGAATGGGGGGATTGCCATGCTGGTGGTGAATTTAGAAAAGTGATTTTCTCTTGTTCTGTGTAAGCAATAAGACGTCAGACCAAGAATTTAATTGTGCTGGGGCTGGAGAGTGTCATTTTGGATCTGTTTGCCTGTTCAATCTATCACGTCTGTTGTCCTTGAGGTTCTCACTCTTCCATACCTCTGTGGATGACCCATCTGCTTTGTTACCTTCCAACAGCTCTGTGTAATATTGAGCAATGCCTGTATAAACTTGTGCTATATGAACATCTGGGGGGATGCAAAACACTCGTATCTCTTTTGATGCAGTGGGTGAGAGGCAGTGATGGAGCAGCTGCCCAGGCTGAAGACAGTGGGGAACTGTGGGGAGGAGGGTCAGAGCAGAGGAGTGAAAATAATCCAGGAAATGAAGCTGTCAGGCCTAAGTCAGTGGGGATTTCTTCCTATTTAGATGTTCTGTGTCAGTGGGACAGCTTTGTACTGGTAACCTGCTGCTACTCGGTCACATCGCAAGATTGTTGCTGTGCTTTGAAGTGGAGTTACTTTTATGCTAACCAAAGCAGGAGCAGGTGGGCTCATAAATCAGTCAAGGAAAGGCGAGGCTCAGCAGTGTTTCTCTTTAATTATACAGCTTCTCCAGTCCAGTAAGTGGACTTCCACTTCTTCACATACTGGCCCCAAGCTCTGGACAGCCAAGATCAGATGGGTTTTCAGGGATTTCATATAGAAATGAAGGAGAGTTGATTCTCTTTTCTCAAAAAAATTTGAGTAGATTACTTGAGACTGTGCTATATGAACAGGTTCTTGACTGCCATAGGATAAGTCTCTATTCTCTCTTTCCCAACACAAGGTTGGCAGAGAGAGTGTCTTTTATTATCCTTAACTGGGATATAGGGAGGGGGGTGAAAAATAAGCCTTTGGCACACTGCTGCTTTTCAGGTTGGAAATAGAGTTGTCAGACTCAAGGCCAGTTATGTGCTGGGGAACAATTGCTTTGAGTTTAATGTAGTTAAATTAGACAACCCAAGAGAAAAGGCAGTTAATGAAGCAAAAGATAATTTTAGTCAGGAGAAGTGATAGTCACTGCCCCCCAGGAAGAAGAGAGAATTGCTGGTTGCTGTCAGGTAGAAGAAGAACATAAGGAAATTTTGTTCATCACAAAACCAATACTTGTGTGCCTTTTTTTGATTTTTGTTGTGTTTTGGTCTATCCAGCAGAATTATGAATTTCTGAAGGTATACTTAAGATCTGTCTAGTCTGAACAACTAGAGCACACTTCAGAGGGGAAAATTTTTTTGGCAAAAACAGTAGATACCATTTCATCTTAATATCTGTCCTCTGTATTTATTTTATCTAGGAATATTTTTGCTAAATTTTTCTGTAATGTTTTTCATGTTTTTGAAATTGGCTTGTCTGCATAGTTTATGCCAGTACCTCCAGAAAGCTGCTGCAAGCACAGAATTTCCAGTGTTTATTCACAGAACAGACTAAAAATATCTGTTCTGATACTTCTCTGAAGCTGAGTTTTAGCTATGAACTGAGGTCCACTTACCAGATACACATAAAAAGTACTACGATGAAAATTAGCTACTTATCATTTTCAGGATTTTACAGTTTTATTGGCTCCAAAAGCTGCAGCATTTTAAATTAATACAGTTATGTTAAAATCTCTAAATTTCTTACTTATATTCACTGATTATATAATTTAAAATGCAAGAATATACCCATCCAAAATGTTTTTGAGTGATGTAAAGTGTTGTTTTGGGGAACATGTCATAAAGCATGACTATGCCAAGAAATAATTAGTTCCCATCTTGGGTCTCTGGTTTTAAGTTACCACTGCAATTACTTTGGATATTAAATTGGATGTCTCCATGTACTAGGGACAGTGTCTTAGAGAACCAGCTGTACATTTGCAGATGAGGAAAATATACCCACCTTACCTCTTGTTCTCAGCCTGAAGAGGTGAGCATGTGGTTGGCAGGTTTATTTTTATTTTTGTATGAGCTGTAGGGACTCATTCTTTACACGGGGAGATTACTGCTGGAGTCCTTTGTGCTGGCCCCAATGAAGATCAAGTTGCAATTTTAAAGCTTTAATTTGTTGGCTTTATGGTGGAATCCCAAGAGTGCTCTGCTTCAGCAGCATGGCACAGCTCCAACTTGAGGGAGCACCTGTCTGCAGGCAGGGCAGGAGAGGACAGCTGGTGTTATATCTGTGACAGGTTCCTACAGGTTAAACCAAGTTAAAAACTGTGAATTCTTCTCAGTTCTTTTCAAAATACTTCCTGTTAATTTTTTTTTCTCTTACACAAGCTTCTTGCCAGCATAACCCAAAGCGAAGCAAGATTAACTACATTTTTTTTAATGGAATATATGTCCACCTAAATATTGCGCTAGAATGTCTGCTAGCTACTACAGCATGAGATCTTGAGGGACAGGGAGATGCAATATTAATGGAGTATAGCTGGAGAAGTCTTGGTGCCATGTCAGACTTGTCTTAAAAGATCAGACATTATCCAGGGCCTGCTAATGATCAGGCAGAACTCTGAGGAGAGCAGATAGCTGTGGGTGTTCCCTGACCCAGCCAGCCAGATCTCCCAGTGCTCCGTCCACGCCTCCCAGCTGGTTCCTCTTCCTTCACTCCAACCTGCTCTTCAATGCTTCTCCCTTGGATCCTCCCTTAGGTCTCTGCCAAAAAATAAAATTTCAGTGCCAAATGTTTCTCTTCTTGTAGTTCTGTTTTTCTTAAAACTTTCATTAAACATGACAGGTTCTCTCACTCTTTGTAGCAATTCTACTGCGGAAACATGTTTCATAATTCCCTTTTAATTTTGTGCATAAGGAAAAGATTACAATACACTGAGCGATCTCTGAGGGGCATGCATGAAGCAAGACATCTTACGAAGGCAAGGAACAATTGGCTCCTGATCCTTTTTGAATAAAAGAATGAATTTGGGTAGGGCAAGCATGTGGGAGTTGAATTATTTCACTCCTACGTGAAACTTGTACAACTGCGAAGCTAAAATTGAATGCTTGCTAGATTACATATAGTTAGTTTTCAGTAGATCCTCTAGAATCTTGATACCTCATTTAAAAGGTAATTATAAATCAGAATTTGTTGCTTTTATCAACCTATTGTATATTTCTTTGAATGTTTCTGGTTTTGTTGCTTTCAATTTTAAGCAGTTCAAAGTTGTAGAGTGTAGAGAATAAACAGCTGACTTTTTACTGAGGATATATATTAATCTCTGACAGGGTATTGCACTTTTTGATGAACTAGACACTCGACTAGGGAATGGAAACTCAAAGGGAATGTTTTTTTTGTATAGTCATACGTTTGGAGTTAATTTTAAATGCTAAGTAAAATAGATTTTAAATCTACCAAGACTTCAGTGGATTGAGGGTGCCATCTTGTGGTTGAATTACGTTTATAATGGAAAACCAGAAATGCCTATTTGAACACTGAGGGGCATATTCTATTTTTGTTACTGAAAAATATTAATCATAATGAGATCTTCTGTAATGGACTACTTTTTTATTAGCTTCTATAAACAAGTTAGGTGCTCAGGCAAATATCTATAATCTTCAAAATTTTTTCCTTCAGCTTAAACGTGATTGCACGTATATACTTATTTTTCACTTGCTTGTTTTGTTCTGGAATAATATATACAACATACAGTTTGTCATTGGAGAAGGCCACTGTTTCAATAGCCATTTCTTCACTGAGCAAATATAAAGACATACTTTCTTTATGGAAATGCTAGGTTTCACTTTGTTATTACTTTGAGAGATTTAAAAGATTAGGTAGTAGATCTTTGTGGCATGGATTTGCCTGAAAAGCAGATTTTCAGGAAAAAGGTGGTTTTTACTACTTTTTGGTGGTGTTTATTTATTTAACAAAACTATATATTATTTTTTCTTTATACAGATTATTTAAAGAATCTTTTAGAAGAATCTGCGGACTATAGGGATACTCAAGGTAAATGTCTATTTAAAGAAAAAATAGCTTATGTACTTATGATAATGTTTCCAGATTTTAAGTGCTTGCAAAATGTTAAGTCAGTAATAGAAATGTTTTCTATTTAGTTCTAAGTTTCTCAGCAGAGATACTAAAAGATTGCAAGCTTGTGTTTCAAAAAAGTCTGGAGCTGACAGTCATATCAGCTCACCCAAGAGGTAAGAGTGAAGTTCTCCAGACAGCTTAAACAGATATTTTGGGCACTGCTATTGAAAGAGACAGTCCTTGCATCTGTAGACCTTTCATGATAGGCAGCTTGTCTACCAGCTGCTCTCTCCAACTATAAGCCTTCCTGGCCTCATCGTCTCTCTGGCTTGTGCCAGAACAAGTGTTCATGTGGCAGGGGTGAACAAGATAAAGGAGCTGCCTTGAGTTATATTTAACCTGAGGAGTTCTCCAGTTTGAGTTGTCACAAGTTGCACAAACACAGGTGACTTACACAAGTTTGCCTGCATGTGGGGAAAAAGGAGATCAAAGGAAATGAGCAGGAATAGTTGGTGATGAAGAGGACGGGACCGACCACACATTTCATAGTAGTGTGGGATTAAACTGGTTTAACTCAAGCATATAAATGCAGCGCACATTCAGGCTGTTTCCTTCTGCAGTGTGTGCCTTAGCAATACAAAAATGCTCCCAGTCAATGCTTCCATTTCATTTGCATGAGACCCTGTCACTTATTTCACTTTTTAGTGACGTTTGTTCAAGCCCATTACGTTTAGGAAGGTTGTGCAATTGTAGTTGATTGGACTTCAATGAGTGCCTTCAATGCACTGAACCAAGTTTGCTTTGTCTGCTGATACAATATTGTAAAATATATCAGTAAATATCCTTCTTGGGACATTTAGACATATTTGTTTGAGTACGGTGAAGATAGAAGCCAAAAATATTTCAACCGATGACTCTTTAAGTTCATCTTGCACTTCTTATGGCTGTGAACAAACTAATGCTTGTGTTGCACATTAAATAGTTGACCACTTGAAAAGTGAGCAACTTAAATATATATTTTACTTTACATTTTCTTGTGATTTCTCCAACTTCTCTATTTTTTCTAGTTGTACCTTCCACAATGTTTTTCTCTCCCTTCATACATCAAAGATAAAAGCTGAAGCTTAGCTGTGACAATAAGAGTGTTAATTTGAGATGCTCGATAGTCTATCTTAGAACTTGGGTAAAGAAAAGAAAATCTAATCTTTACTCACCAAGTTCTTGTAATGATTAAGCTTAACTTAGTTCTGATTTTGCTTAGTTCTTTAATTCCATTGGTGGGGGGGAGTGGAGAGGGAGACTAGGCTTGGTTGTGGTTACTGTTCTTGGAAAAATACCAAAATAGCACAATTCTTCTTGATAACCTTCATTTGAATACATTACTTCAGCTAAGTGGTATAAGTGGAATGCTCTTTATCCCTATAGATTATTTTATGTTGTTATTTAGATTTATTTAGTCTTGGCTATGTAAGTGATCCTGAGATCCTGGAACTTTCCCTTCAATAAGCAGAAAATTTTCTAATTTTCTCTAAAATTCTTCAATCTTCCTTGAAATCTGAGTAAAATTTTAAGTTTTTAATAGATATAACTGATAGATGAGGAAACATATAACAGAAAGAATCAGGTACTCATTTCTGTCTTAATGAATTTAGCTAAATTTCCCTTCATCATATTCCATGCAGATGGGAGCTGGGGAGTGTTTTGCCTGAAGCAGCACAACATTTCTTATATTTCCTACTAGGAGACCACCAGCTCTTTTTCAGCAGGCTCAGCTGATGCTATGACATCTATATATAAACTTAAATTTTGATCAAATGCTTGATATCTGCTGTGTATTTTAACTGTTTGACTCCTGTGCTTGCATTGCCTTGGTTCATGAAAATCTTGTACAAAAATTCTCCTTAGATTGACTTAGGATGAGCTTTTTGTTCACATCTGTTTAGTTTCTTATATGGCTTCATGACCTTCTGAACCTTTCAGTTCAGACAGCTATCTCTTTCAACATGCTTTCTTTCCAAATATGACTCAACAATAAGGGAAGTGTATGCATTCTACAGTACTAATACTCTAATTATTACCTGGGAAAAAAAACCTTAAGGCTTTGTTTTTACCTGGTTTGGTATGCTTCTCTGTGGATTTTTAACCAAATGTAGGTCCTTTCTTTGAAGTGCCTTAGTGTACTTGAATTACTTAGAAGAAGGTGCTAAATGCTTTAAGACTACATTTTATCAGAACAGTTGTCCTAGGTTTCAACTCAATAAGTCTCTTTTTTTCTACTTAAGTAAATTACAGGTTTTTGGATAAGATCCTTGGGTGGATCCTTGGACTGAACACTCACTGTGTTCACATGATATTTGACTGGTATCTTGAGGGTGAAGTAAAACTAAAGGCAGAAGAAATGGCAAAGATTTGTATAATTTTTCTAGGTGGTCTTCCGTGACTAGCACTGGTGGCAGTTGGGTAAAATGGAAAAAACTTAGTCCCTACATAGTCTCTGTTAAAATATTGTTAACTTTTCTCCTGTAAGTAGAGTAAGTAAGTAGAGTTGTGTGAGAAACTGGGATTTACTTTTGCTTGTGGACTGTTTTGATTAGCTGTAAGAAATAATCGACACTGTAGTTGAAGCAATGACTTGCTAGAGCATATTTATTAAACCACGATCGAAAGATTCTGGGATTTATGGGAAGTGCTCCTGAATGCAGTGACTGTACAATCAGGTCCTTAAATCTTGGAATTATGTGGAAATGCAATATCATACCTGTGCTTTACGTAATACCAATGCTAACTAGTCGCTATAACCAAAGCATTATTTCTTCATCCTTCAGATGCTTTAGCTGTTGTCATAGAAGTTGCAAACCATGCCAATGACATCATGAAGCAGGGTGTAAGTATTTTGACTTATGAAGCTGGTCTTAAAAAAAAAAAAAAAGTCACGGATGCAAGGGCAAGTACTTATCTTCTGCTTTTTCTTCCCATAGGATAACTTTCAGAAACTCATGCAGATCCAGTACAGTTTAAATGGACACCATGAGATCGTACAGCCAGGAAGGGTAGGTCCTCCAGATGGCATTCAGCAGATTGCAGTACAGTGCAGCACGGATGATATGCAAGCAAAGGACTGGAGCTGGCACATACCAAGAAGAAAAATGGTCCATTGCTTTATTATTCAGTTCTAACAGTCAAGTGAATACTGCCTCTCCATGTGTGGGGGGTGTTTTTTAGACATTTTTTAGATACCTTGCCAGATCTTGCAGGCAGGTTTTTGTCCTCAAGCTTAACCTTGTATTTGTTGTGGTTTCAAGTGCAGCATGGAAAACTGTACTGCAGTCATTCACACTCGCTTTTAGAGAAACCTAGGGATAAACGTCTTTTCTCAGAAAGGGAACCTTGAATCCCAAAACTTCCGCAGCACCTCTAGTGTAGTAATAATAATCATAATCATAATAGTGAAAGAAGTCAGCTCATTTGCATGGCTTCTGCCCTAAAAACCTAGTTTTAATTTTGTTTAATTTACTAGGTCTTTCTGAAAGAGGGAACACTGATGAAGCTGTCACGGAAGGTCATGCAGCCACGAATGTTTTTTTTGGTAAGATGCTGTATATGTTGCTGTGTGTCTAATAGGAGTGTAATTTTAAGTGGTTGAAATGTTACACTGTAAACATAAGTAACTAATAACTGCAAGTAGTAGAAAAAATGACCAATTGTTGCTGTTCTACTTATTTAGTTCTAATTTACAGAGATCATCTGTGGCATATGCACTAAATTTAGTAGAAAACCATTTCTCACTAAAATGTACTATTTTGAACAACACTTATTCAAAATCTGAGAGCTTTTACGAGAAGACATTACCTGTGGTAGTGAGGAAACAAACACAGTTACTCCATCCCACTTAGCTGTACCAGGTCTTGAAACCTAGAACTCTGGCACTGCTATTGTGCCCTTCCCTCCCTCCCCTCCCTGCCTCCTTCTTCCTCCTTTCTCCTTCCCCACTCCCTCCCTCCTCCTCTCTCCTTTCCCTTGCAGGAGGTCCCATGCATCCTGAGTAGAGCACTGGGATGGAAGTTAAATGCTGGGTTCTCTTCCTGTCTCTGAAACTTCTGTGCATCTCTGAAGTTTCTGTTTCCACTTGAACCTTTTGTTTATCTCTTCTATTTAGACAGTAAAGCAGCTGTTATCATGTGTAATTTATGACATTATTGGTCCACAGTCCTGGCTAAAATCTGTCTTGTGGTTACTGTAGTATGAATAAATATTTCCCTAGGCAGTCATGGAATCAGTTATGGTAATACTCTCAAAAATCTGGTGCTATCCTGAGCTGAACTTCACAAATTACCTGTTGCTAATTTGAGTGTCTGTGGCTTGGATTTTCTCTGTTTTGTTTTTTGGGGCAATGGGTTTGTTTGGTTTGGGGTTTTAGTTTTTTTAGACACTTGAGCAGTGATATTTCCATTGATCATGTTGTGAAGATTTAGTAAGGCTCCTGAAACGTTTGGTTATTTTGCAAAGAACATCACAGCAAAAACTTACAAGACACTTCAGGTTTTGGCGTCTGTTTCTGTGCAGTAAATGAAGTATGGACCCATGGGTTGAACAGCACAGAAAATAAAAAAAGTCTTAGTAACTGTTCAGTAAGTGTGCAGAATGAATCTGAGTCTGGTAGAACAGGAAATAAACAGTAGATGCACTTTAAACTGGTAAAATTCACATGGTACGTATAATTAAGTTTGTCCTTTTAATCATAAATTGCTAATCTCCATTCTTTTATCTCCAAGTTTCTGGATTGTTTTGGTTTGTTTGAATGGTTAATTCTAATATCCCTTTAAAGTAGTCTGCTATATCATATGGCATTGTACATGAGAAACATTTTTGTCCATCTTGACAGGCTGTTCTTTGACATCTTTGCACTGTTTACTCATGTGCCAAATGTGTATTTACACAAGGAGGATATAAATAGATACCTATTGTTATCTAATTCATACATGAAAATGTTTCTTGGATTCTAAGTGGAATAATAGGAAGTAGAGGATGCCCTTCTGGACAGTTGATCTCAGTGGTGTAGGAGTTCTGTACTTCCAGTAAAATACATCTGAATTACCTGTCTTTTAACAGTCTTTAGTCATTAAAAAGCATTGCTTCTGTATTACAGTTCAATGATGCCCTGTTGTATACTACTCCAGTCCAGTCAGGGATGTATAAACTCAACAATATGTTGTCCTTGGCTGGAATGAAGGTGAGTCACTTGTTAAAATGAGTCCTTCTCCAAATCTACCTGAACTCAGGCCTTCAAATTTTCAAAACACAACTATGTTTACTGTTGGCAAGAGATATTAAATATCCTTGCATTCCAGAGTAATCCTACAGGCTTAACATTGCTTGTATAATATGGCCTGTGGGATTGCTATCTAGGTTTCCCTAAAAAACTCTGTTGACACAGGATCATCTCAGCTGCATTTCACCTAGTGTTGTCCTACTCTGAAATAATTTGTCTACTTATTTTTTGTATTGTACTTTGTTTAGACTGCCTCGATTTTTCGTTTTAACTGCTTTTTATTGCCCACAAGCAGAGATTAGACATCTTTGCATGATAAACTCCTGGTGGGTCAAATCTCTGGTTTATAAAGATTTGCTAACTCTGAGGAAAGATAAAGCTTTTGTTTCTGAGCCCTTGTGAAAAGCATCAAAGTGAAGCCCTGAGCCCCTCTGGGTGTAGCGATAAGGGACATGCACACACTGTCTGACGTGACAGTGGGAACAACAAACCGTTGCCTTGGGAATCATTGTCTTTGGTCCTGTCAGAAAAAATCACCAAGTCCAGCTGCAGTGCCGATTTGGCACCCAGGTCCAAGCTTTCACAGGCAGAGCTGCAAAATCTCTGTTGCCAGCAGATGTCTTGTAGTGACTGAGAACCACTCTTGACTTTTAAACCTCCTTATGTTTGAAACTTGGTAGCTCAGAAAGATCAACAGGGTGATGCAGGCCTTGCTCACTCTGGGGTACACCAGTGGGCTAAATCTTGTCCTGCAGCAGCAGCAGTGCCTTTTTTTTTTCCCCAGTTGCAGGAGGTGCTTATTGGGCAACATGCCTGGGCATGTTGAAGCACAGTGAGGGGCTCTGATAGCTTCATTCCTCTCTATGTCTCCAGTGTTTGTATGGAACTACACTGAAATAAAAGGATGGGCTGCATGTAATCTTGGTGTAGCTGGGCCCTCTGGACTGGTATATGACCTCCTCTTCTGAGTATTTTCTCTCCAATGTACCCCTTCTGCAATAAAAATGTAAGAGATTTTACAGGAAGTAAAACTAAAGCAACAACAGAAGTACAATTTCAGTTTGAATGTAAAGTTTTCTCTTTTGGCTGAAGGTTAAAAAGCCAACCCAGGAAGCCTATCAGAATGAACTGAACATTGAAAGCGTAGAGAGATCCTTCATTCTTTCAGCGAGGTAAGTCTTCCAAATGGATAATAATTTTAAAACTGTGTGGTTTCAAACGGGCCACGCAAGCTTTTTATAGCTTGTTTTGCGCTTAATGTAATGAAAAGTTACCCTTGGCTGGAGTGATTACAGAATAAAGGGAATCAGTTAATCAGAGTGAATAAAACCCTCATTTGGTTCCTCTTTTTCAGCTTAGCTACACTTTCAGAAACTTCACGTACATTGAAATATTATCCTTGCATTGCCTTTCCTTGAGAGGGTTTCAATTAAATTAATTTTAGGCTTTGATTTTCAGTATTTTTTTGTTCTTCCAGAGTTACTGATATGCTCTGTCACTGCATCTACAGGACAGGATATGAAGCTTAACAATAAATTTCCATGTTATTATTGGTAACTGATATAAATTGGAAGAAGTCATCCTGATCTTTTAGCTAAAATAACACTGCAATTGAAACAGGAAACAGATCTTGTGAACCTGAAATTATGGCAGCAATTACTGCAATGGTGCTTGTCTTTACCAGAAAACTAAATTCTCCATGTAGCAGCAAAAGGATACATGGCCACTAAACCAGAGCAGCTCTGGTCACCTTCACCGAGATGCCTTTGGCAAAGGCCTGGGTTTGTGGATTGTTGTTTTTGCTGTGCTTGAGTTGAAGTTTTATATGTTTTGACATTTGTGACAGTGCTGATACCAATAAAGAAAGACATGTTTTCTCCTTTGTTTAGCAAGGCTGAGCAAGGGCAGACTGCTGCTTTTTGTGTGACCTTGTAAATACCAACATGAGAATGTCTGCATAAAGATAGCAGTATCTGTAGCTGAGGGGTAGACCAAGGTTAACATTGTCAAAATTGCCAAAGGAAGTAGCTCAATTGTCTGAGTAATTTATAACAGCACACTTGAAATGAGAATTTTTTATTTCTTAACAAACTCAAATGTTTTTTATAGCTCTTTTGCACACTTGGAAAAAAAAGGTGCATTTCACAGTTTAGGGTATGATTCTGCTCCAGTATAATATGAGCAGGTCTGTGCTGCTTAGATGCCTTGGTGATTGGATGTCATATGGATTCATGAAGACATTTATGGGATGGCAGTAGACAATGTGGATTTATCTCTGCTTGACTTGAAACAGCATTTCACTTTTAATTCAGTTGTTTTAAAAAATTGTCAAAAAATCATTGGAACTTCCGAAAATATCATCTTGAAATACAAGCTACCTATTTTCCACAAAACAGGATAGACTTGTCTTTTTGAGGAACTGATTAAATGGTAGATTAAAATCAACTCCTGTGAAATATGTGCTGGTTCATAGGGAAAACCCCCTATATGTAACATTTTAATCAAATTCAGCATGATTTGTGACTTGCTTTTGTCTTGACCTTGAAATTGCTGGAATTTACCTCATTTTACCAACTAAGGCTGCTCTGATTTGTTTTTTCTTTTTTAGTGATGCTGCATCTTTGGAGAGCATTTAGCTCTATTATTTTTATACTTGGTGGAAGCTATGGGTGTGCAAGAGCCCTAAGTTACACAACAGTGATAGAGGGAGGTTGCATTTGCATGGCAAGAAGGAAGTGCTGGGGGCCCCAGATGTAAATGACAGTTTTCAGATTGTTGTCTGTCTATAACCAGAACTGGGCCTATTGTGGTGTAGGAGGGAAACAGTTGAAAAAACTACTAGCAACAGGTGCTTGCATATATTTTTTTCCAATTAATTATGTTGTTCCTATTGATAAATATCCTGAAAGTGAAAAGAATTTGTATCTTGTCAATACAGGCTACATCTTCTTTGAATGATGCCTCATTCTAACAGCTTCTTGGCTCCCATGTGGTAAAAATCTCAATTGCAAAACTGTTCAAATTAGTATTAAAGACACTGGAGACGATTTTCACTTCTGTGTTTTTTTCAAATAATAAGCATTATGTGAAGTGTACACCAGAGAAGAGATTCTGGAATGATCCTAGGAGATGAGGCAGAGAAGGGAGCGATTAAGCTGGTGAAAAATTGCTATTAATAAAAAGTAGGCCAATTAATAACAGAAGTATAGATTAGTGCCTAGACAAGTCTTTGTCTCTTCAGGTTTAGTTTTACTGACTGCATTAGTGTTCTGCTTTATCTAGTCTGGGTTGAGGTTTCGGTTTTCCTGGGATATCTGTAGGAATGTGAATTGTTTTTCATGGTACAGTGCAGTATTGTACTAGAAATCTCTTCATCAGAGGAACAAGTTAGCACATCTGCATGATACAGCACTGCACAGAAGTAGTGGTTTGGTCCTGAAAACAACAGTCGTGCCAGCCTGACACGGTCTGAGGCCAGCTGGCCCCGTCCCCCTCAATAAGGCAAGCAAAGAGCTACCCCAGGCAGACATAGCTGCATTGCTTTCACTAAGGATAGCTCAGGCAAGGCTAGCTCAGCTGGGAGAGGTGCCCTAAGGCTCTGATCCTGGAAACAAGAGAGGTAGAAGTCTGTGAGCCCTCCTAGGGCCACTGAGCAGCTGTGATGTGTGCCCCTAGCACAGGCATTTGCCGGTAGTAACCATTGCTGGGGCTCTCTGCAGTCCATTTAAAGCTTTCTACTGTTATGTTAAATATCAAATAAATTAAAAAAATAATAATGTTTGAAAACCCTGCAGTTTTAGTAAGCAGATCACTTTTGGAAGTGATACTGGAGCTGCAGCAGGGGAAGCAGCAGGGCTGGGCAGCTGTGGGGGGAGGACTGGGAGTGACAGCAGAAGAAACTGCCTATTTTGCTGCAGCAAACCATTACATCAATTCAGTTGCCAGTGGCACCACCTTTGCTCTTAAGTTTTGAAGGATTGTAAACAATCCTAAAGGCTAGCACTAGCAAACCTACCAAGCACAAGCTTCCTGGTGAAATATTAGTGTTAGCTGCTCCATGAATAGCAATCTCCACATGATGGAGGGGATGCTTAATCTCGAAAAACTGTGCCAACTTTAAATTTAATACAGTTGCAGGAATCCAATTAAATGTAACCAGATTTTGAAAAAAGCCAAAGGAGTTTATTAGAGTTATGAATATTATGTAGTTAATGCAGACCAGTTGTTCTTTCCGGATGAGGAAGCAAAAGTAAATAAACTGAACAAAATGTTCGACTCAGACTGTGAGATATTGGGACAGACAATAATACATTGCTTTGCCTTTGCCTGTATCTTATTTCCTCTCCTTTTGTTCTGATTTTGTTGTTGTGTGTGTGCTAGATATTTTTTTTCTGCTCATGCCTCACAGGCTTCCCATGTGTTTACCTTACTAGATTTGTCCTCTCTAATTCTCTATAGTACTCAGTTTCATCCAGTTCAAAACCCCAGTTCAAAGTATTTTCCTTGAAGGCTCAAAGATGATGAAAGCTTCCAAATACACCTACAAAACCGTTAAAAAATAATGGTTTAATTAATTGGTACTAGACCCCTCATTAGTGTAAGTCATTGCTTTCCTCTTCCTTGGCTTTCCTTTCTATATCTTTCTATTAATTACTTGGATTAAACTGATTAATTTATTTGATACCAGTCAAGAAGTTGGGAATAGAAAAAATGTTGGCAATGGATACTTGTTCAAATTTTAGAAGCGCTTTTTAAAGCTGGCATGGCATCTTAAACAAGCAGCCTAGCTGTTTCTCTGCCACAAAACTGCTTCATCCTTCTCAGAGCCTTCTCCGTGGTGCTGGCACAAGTACTTGTTCAGCTGTGTGATGAACTCAGTTGGTAAATTGATCCACAGGAAGAGCAGGTCAATGGCTTGCTTTAATATGGATTCATTTCCCAGTCTAGCCCACTGCATAACTGTATGTTCTGACACAAGGGTGAAAATAAGACACAGTGGCTGAGAGAAAGGGTAGTAGGCTGCCCTTTGCAGCAGGAACAGCATGGATTTATGAAAACAGTGGTGTGCCCATGGCCAGAGGAGATGCTTTGGCAGTGCACGTAAGCCAGTATAGCTGCAGCCTCCTGCTGTACTGAGCACTCCTTATTCTCTCTGCTCCTTGTGCCACGCCACTTTAGCCTAATGTTTTCCTTGCTCTTGATTAGTGATCCACCAGCTGTAGGATAAAGAGAGAGAGTAAGCTCATCTGTTCATCTCTTTAAGTTAGCTCATCCAATGGAAAATTTTGGAAAAAAAAGAATTATGTAAAAGTAACATGACCTGTAGTAGGAGTAGTCAGGAGCACAAGGCAGGAGAAGAGTCAGTGTGGTTTTTTTCTGACATAGGCTTGGGGTTTCACAGGGCTGGGTATAAAAAACTGCACTCTGAGACAGAAGGAAGCAGGGAGAAAAAAGACTTGTTGAAATTTCAGGTTGCCTTCAAGAGGGAAGGCCAAATCTTTGTTCTGGAACCACCGTTTATACCAGTATCATTCAGGCTATTCAAGGGTCCAGGGAGAAGGGGAAGCAATGACAGACAAGCTTAAAACGACCACAGGGTATTTTGGAAGGAGGAAAGGGAGGGAGGGAATCCGCATTATAACAACAGACACAGAAATCTTTTTTAGTATTAATCAACACAAATAGCTAACACCATGCAGACAGTTAAAAAATTATGCCAGTTTTAGTAGGAATTGAGGATGGTCTATAAAATGAAATTGCAAGAGAGTTACGTCAGTGTGTAATAAAGCTAATGAAATTCTAATCAACACTTGCTTAGTCTTAAATGTTAATAATAATAAACTGGTTTTGTGGGTTTTTTACCCCAACAGTTCTGCTACAGAAAGAGATGAGTGGTTAGAAGCTATCTCCAAGTCAATTGAAGAATATACAAAAAAGAGAATCACATTTAATCCGAGCAAAAGTCTTGAAGAGGTATATCATAAAATTATTGTTGGTTTGTTCCCTTTTTGAATATAAAGTTTCTTATAGGTGTTTAGAGAAACAAGAGGTGTTCCATGATGAATAATAAAACAGGATGGTAAATGGTAAGTGAACAGATGATAGAACAGAATACTATTTCATAATGTTTTTTACTTCATAAATTTAAAATTATTTTCTTCCAAAGAACCCAAACCAGCTTTTGCATTTCTCTCTCTGATCTTGTGAAGAGAAAGATGAAATGAAAAGATTTTAAAATAAAGCAGCTGTTGATACAAGTAGGCTGGTAAAGCTTGAAAGTGACAGAGCTGTTGTGAACTAATTAAATGCAGCTCTGTTGTCAGGCTTGCATTATAATGGTCACTGATGAAATAGTAGATAACATTTAAGACCATAACAATTTATCAGAGAAGGCTTTTCAACATCATTAGCATTTTCCTATAATCTCTGATAAATACTAATCTTATTTCTCATCACTGAATGTAAAGGTATTCTGCTTATGTTCTCTCAGGCAGATCCAGAAAAGCAGGAAGAAGATAGTCCACTGGGATCAAAGGCTCCCATCTGGATCCCTGATACCAGAGCCACCATGTGTATGATCTGTACAAGTGAATTCACATTGACCTGGAGAAGGCATCACTGCAGGGCATGCGGAAAGGTTGGGTGATTGCCTTTTCTGTTAGTCCTACAGGTTCCTTGTGTGACAAACACAAAAGGAGCCTCATCACACAACCACGTTTTTGAGGGAACACTGTACTATGTCACAATTATGTGCATTAGAAACAATGGGTTGGGGTTGGTGGTTTAGGGTTTGGGGTTTGGGGGTTTTTTTAAGGAGGTCTTGAACTTGACCAGTGTTCAACCTTCAACCTGTTACATGTTTTTTATTTTGCATTCTAGGGTGCTATTTATGGTTGCTTTTGCAATTACATAATAGAAATTAATGCTAGCTGAAATAAGGAAATATCTTCTTCATTAACTTCCATAAGATAAATCATGATTTTTGTTTTTAAGTTAGTACCAAGCTTGTTTTATATTTAGCACTTATGAAAGATACATCTAATAAACCTTTATTTTTCTTGTTTTAATCAAGTGAGAATACAGAATTAGAATTCAATGCAATGGAGAAATCATCAAGAGAACAATGACTTTTTAATTATTTCTTTTAAATTTTTTTATTTAAAATGCTCAGTAACAGTAGGCTTATTCTGTTATATCATGGATTGTTAACATTGGCTTATTGAGTTGTATAATTCAGTGATTTTTTTTTATATTTAAACTTATCACTTAAGAGGAGGAAAGGGCAGCATGTTGAGCATAAAGACACAGGAAAAATCCAAGATTTTAAACCATTTTTACTGTAAAATAGTGCCTATTTCGGATTGTATGATGGGCTTAACAGTGCTGAAGTGAATGTCTTTTGAGTATTTGCTTATTTACAGGTGCACATCATGTACAATAATGGCTTTATTTATTTCCAGATTGTCTGTCAAGCTTGTTCATCAAATAAACATGGCTTAGACTATATGAAAAACCAACCAGCAAGAGTATGTGATCATTGCTTCAGGGAACTACAAAAACAAGGTAAAGAAAATCTTCACAAACTGTCTGTCTTATTTTTGTGGCCCTTATTAACATGGTATGTCTGTGCCTCATCTTTACTGCTGGGTTCAACTGTCTAATTCTTCTTGTGCCTGAAAAGCGATGGGCATCTGAGATTCTAAGATGCCAAACAAGCTAGGAAATTAATTTGCAATGCATTGGCTCTTCCTTCCAGAAACGTGTGCATTTACCTTACAGCAATTACACGTAGCTTATGCTGCTTTCCTTTTGAGATAACTAGTGTTACATTGCTTTTCTTTAATCACAGGGTACAAGTGTATATTAATGTCCTTGCAGCTTATCATGACCTTCCAGTGGATTCATGTGTACTTTTTCCCTCTGTAACTTGTATGCCTGTAAACTTCATTTTTGACAGCTAAGCTGCTGAGATAGTTAAGCTCTGGGGCTCTGTCAAAACATAGGCTTTCATCTTACTGAAGCTGAGTCTCTTCAACCTCAAGCCTCAGCTCATCTGGAATTCAAGAATTTGGCATATCTGTACCTCAGTTCTGAAGGCAAAATTCCTAACCATTGCCTACTGAACACTGGCAACATGGATATAAAACACCACAGCTAGAGCAGTTTTCATTGAAACGCTTTCAAAGAGTGTGGTGCCTTATGGAAAGCAAGGGTTTGATAGCGTGGTGGTAATAACATTTGCTTGGAGAGAAGGTCCAGAATCAGTGTCCTCACTCATCCTGAGAAAATTCAAATACGTCTCTTTGAAGAAGCTTCATATCATTATGCAGAAACAAATATAAAATCAATGGAGACAGCTCCCAGTGAGGTGGAAATCGAGTTCCATCTCGCAAGAGTTGCTCCAAACTATGTCCAAATACTTTAGTATAAAATACACAAATGAGATATAAGCAGAGACTGAAAGAGTTTGCTGCCCTTCCCTGTGGCAGAGGCTCCAGTTTGACACAAGCTCTCAGGGGTATTAGGAAATCTGTGACGCCCCAGTGCAATAATAAACCTATGGATCCCATAGGGATGCGGAAAGCAGCATCGATAACCCTTGTTTGTAGCTCTGGCTGCCTGTGGTGCTCGGGAAGGCAATTGTCTGGACCACCTGCAGGTGTCTGTGCTGGGCACTAGAGGCTGCTGTGCTACAGGCAATGGCAGGTGCCTTTAGCTGGGAAAAGGCTGCAGAGCAGGTTCAGTACAGCTGGCAAATCCCATGACTCTTCTGCTCTGCTCATTTTTTCAGAGCTTCACCAAGTTCAGGGACAACTCTAAAAGTAGATTTAGTGAAACTACTCATTTCGGGTTGGGCTGTAAAGAAGTGGTGGGTGTTGCTAGAAAAAGGGGTTTTAAAGAAGTGAGCTGTTGCAGAAGTCTTCCAAGAGAGATGAAGGAACTGCGTGTGGCAGTGGAGAATGACAGCATATGCTCTGGAGATGGGAATGTCCAGAAGTGTGTGTATGACAGTGTGATGCTGGAAGAGGAGTCCTACAGCATCCATATTGAAAAAAGCTGAGAAGTTAACAGATGTAGAGAACTGAAGAGCAGAGTTGGGGAACAGAGGTAAAATACAGACTGAACTGCAGAGGACAGCTGTAAAAATTTGGTGTGATTTTTAAGACTTAATTTTCACCCCGTTCGACATCAAGAAAACAAAAAAGACAAATTTGTTTAGTTCTAAAGTTCTTATGGCTTTTTTTTCAGTTTGATTGTGATTTAGGGGTTTCTAACTCATGGTGTTGATGATAACACTGAACCATTAAGTGCTGAATTTAGTGTAGTTAGGTGTTACTATTGAAACACTGTAATGGGAATAAAAATGCCAGCTGTCTTTAAGAAGAAAAGCCCAAGAATCAACAGCCTATGTTTCATCTGTGACATATTCATCCTGTGCATTTTAGATAACCAGTGCACTCCTAAGAGCGGATCCCCAGTCAACCATAAATCTCCATCAAGTGCCTTGTCTACAGTATTACATAGTATTCCTTCTGGAAGAAAGCAGAAAAAAATTCCTGCAGCCCTCAAAGAAGTAAGTGCATTATTGGTCAAAAGTGATGCCTTGGTATTATATAATCAATACTAACAATGCAAAAGACCAATTCCATATTTTAGCAATCTTCTCTAGAAGCAAAAGTCAAAATGTATCTGTAACTGTGGTTTGGGCCTTAGTTTTAAATAGGCAGGGATGTCAACTGTGAAGTAGTGTGTAAACTGCATGAACACCTGTGAGATTGTGATTCAGATAGATAGACAAAATTGTAATTTCTTTCTTGCTTCCCTGTGTTTCCATGAATTGTGATTTACCTCTGCACCAACAATCAGTGAGAAGACTCCTACACCAACTCAGCTCTTGGCTTATGACTAGGAAAGGTAGATCTAAACCCTACCACTCTGTATACACTGGAGGTCTTGGGAATGGGAGGTAGTGATTTTTCTCAGCAAGTCTGCAGATGACACCAAGCTGTGCGGTGCAGTTGACACGCTGGATGGGAGGGATGCCATCCAGAGGGACTTGGACAAGCCTGAGAGGTGGGCCTGTGTGAACCTCATGAAGTTCAACAAGGTCAAGCACAAGGTCCTGCGTATGGGTCAGGGAAATCCCAAGCACAAATATAGGCTGAGTGGAGAATGGATTAAGGCTTGCCCTGGGAAGAGAGACCTGGGGGTGTTTGTGAATGAAAAGCTCAGCATAACTTGGCAATGTGCACTTGCAGCCCAGAAAGCCGGTTGTGTCCTGGGCTGCATCAAAAGCAGTGTGGCCAGCAAGTCAACGGAGGGAATTTTTCCCCTCTTCTCGCTCTGGTAAGACCCCACTTGGAGTGCTGCACCCAGCTCTGGGGTCCCCAACACAGTAAGGGCATGATAATGGTCAACATAATAAGGGCAACATAAGTCCAGAGGAGGGCCACTAAGGTGATCAGAGGGCTGGAACACCTCTCCTAATAGGACAGCATGAGAGAGTTGGAGCTGTTCAGCCTGGAGAGATCTCTGGGGAGATCTTGGAGCAGCCTTCCAGTACCTGAAGGGGGGCCTACAAGAAGGCCGGAGAGGGACTTTTCACAAGGGCATGTAGTGATAGGACAAGGGGGACCCTCCTTAATCTGAAGAAGAGTAGGTTTAGATTAGATATTAGGAAGAAATTCTTTACTGTGAGGGTGGTGAGAAAGTGGAACAGGTTACCCAGAGAGGTTGTGGACTCTCCATTCCTGGAAGTGTTTGAGAACAGGCTGGATGGGGCTTTGAGCAACCTGGTCTAGTGGAAGGTGTCCCTGCTCATGGTGGAGGGGTTGGAAATAGATAATCTTTAAGGTCCTTTCCAACCCAAACCACTCTGTGATTCTGTGATTCTTCTGGTGTATGAATGCATGTTCTCCAGCGTACATAGTCCTCAGCCCTCTCTTGTCCTGTTGCATCCAGTTAAGTTCCAAACCTTAGTGGCAGTGGAAATCTCTCTTCCAGACCAGATAGATGGTAGCAGACAAAATAATTGTTCTTTCAGCCATGTAAGTTAGTTAGCAACACTAACCTGAGATCAGGTAAGAATTTGAGTCTTTGACAGGCAGGGCTTTGGAAATCTGCCTAAAAAAAACCCTGTACTGTGAAAACTTGTACTCTTAGGGTGTGTTGATTCATTTTGTTTTTCCTCTTCAGGTTTCAGCAAATACAGAAGACTCTACAATGAGTGGCTACCTACACAGATCTAAGGGCAGTAAGAAACCATGGAAACACCTGTGGTTTGTTATAAAAAATAAGGTGCTATACACATATGCTGCTAGTGAGGTAAGAGACTACATATTAGAAATAAAATATCCAATGATAATACTGTCTTTGTAACAAAGTTGTTTATTTTTATGATATGGAAACAAGCTATAAAAGTAGATCACCTTACAGTATTCGATCTGATTGTGAATGCAGTATTTTGAAAAGGCCCAGTGAGCTTGATACCATAATACATTGATATAGCTATGCTGTTTCTGATTCCAGACCTAGTTTGAGTACCTCTGCACTGCACACCATTGCTCAGCTGTAGGTATGTTCTGAGTCAGCTGAATACATGGGGAGTCTGTTTGGATGCATCACAGTGTGCTAGTGGCAAAGCCAAAATTATAAAAGTATCTTGAAGTATGTTGTTCTGCAGTTCCATAAGGTCTTTTGAATGCTTGGAAAATGAGCAAACTAAATCTCTTTACTTCTTCTCAAACTGTTGTTTTCAGCCTGGAGTTGCTATTTGATACACAGTGATGCAGTAGAAAAAAAAAGAAATGCATCTTATCTAATGACATTTGCTTTTTTATTTAGGATGTGTAGTCCTAAATAAGTCCATTGCAGTGTGGAATAATCTCTATTCAGTATAAATATGTGTGTGTGTGTGTATATATATATAAAAGCTCTGCACATCCCAGTATGTGCTAAGGATGTAGCCTCATTGCATCTTTGAATGTTTTGTAACATATGGATGTATTGTAGCACCAGAAGATATTGGACTAATTTTATATGTTAGAGTTTGCTACTAGCTTTCAAGAGCAAAACATCCAAAGCATCTGTTTAAAGGTATTGCTATTCCTCACTTACTTTCAAAATGTAAGGCCCAACCTATCCTGGCCATGTAAAGAATTACCCTTCTTCACCCTCACACCACATCCACTCTAGTTATTTCCTGGTTTGTGCTCAGATTTGTGTTCCTGGGTTGTTCCTGCCAACCTTTATTTTTAGAACTTCTGAATTATGTCCAAAACCTGTGATGTTATTTCCACTACAGTATTAGCAATATTAAAAAAAACACAAAGTAGTTCTAAAAATAGCTTAAATAATTATGTGGAAAAAAATTACTTTTACATCAATTAAAAAAATATTTGAGAGCACTGTGTTTCTTCTGTTAGTTGCAAAGGAGACTTTGGCGGAGGTAAAGAAAGATATATTAGTCTGTGACAGTCACTTTAAATTTTCTTTGGCTCGGCTTCCTCTGAGATATCAACCTTACAGAGTAGCTTCAGTTTGCAGCTCACAGTCACAAAATTAACTCTTTCCAATTTTCTTTAAACTGAGGAATATCTGTCCTTATTTTTCATCTTGATGAGCCATTGCAGGAGACATTGGTTATAGAGTCTTAAGGGAAGATCCAGTGTTGCGTTAGCCAGGAAACCTCACTTAAACTACTTACAGTAGTTCCAAGTGATATAAAGATCAGTGGCAAAAAACCCACCTATTAGTGGTACAAAGACCTGAGATAGCAAAACAGATTGCTCAGCCTTACTTGCTTTTCCAATATAAAGAAATGCTGTTTTCACAGGACACCCTTGTTTCATTGGAGAGGCAATTACCAAAGTCATCACCTGGTTTGTCAGTGTTTATATACATTCTTTGGTTTTTTAGCTTTTTTTTTTTCTTCTATCCATAAGCATTGCAGAACCTTGCCTAGTTACAAAACACTGTTTTGGAATTTGCACAGGATGAAAATAGTTGGGTTTTTTTCCCTTCCAAAAATGCTTTGTGTGGTATTCATTTATTAAAAGGCAAGAGTATTTAAAAAAAAATTTTAAAGTAAGTACTTGAGATGAATGAGGAAGGGGACAGGTTTCATTTTTAGCCAGGTTTTGAAACTAAATAAAAGAAAACAAAAAGGTACAGCTTCTCTTGCTACTCTTTCCTAACCTACCATTTGTGAACACTCAGCAACTATTTTTCCCCTATCCTTTTAATTTCCAGCAACAGAAAGCAAAATAAGCTTAGCCATTTGAAGTATTTGGAACTTGACTGCAGTGCTTGAGAACATAGGTTGCATCCATAGCTCCTCCTTTTAGCATACTCCGTGCAGTTAACAGCATCCCACTTCACTTTTAAGGTTGTTGGAGAGAGCACTGGGGTTGGTGGACCTTTGGTCTGCTGCCAGGTGGTAGTTGACCTTTTGATATAAGAACTCCTTACTAGCAGAATGCTGAGACTACACAGCGAAAGACAAGGTAGATGTTATCACAGAAATGAAAAGAAGATTGGCAGTGTTGAAGTCTATGAGGTTTTGTTATTTCCTGTCTCCTGATTCATGCATGGAGAAGATAAAAAGCGGCATTTTGCGCATGTCTGTTTATAACAACTTTTTTGTTTTATAGTCTGTTGCAATGGTATGGTATATGAATAAAGTCTAAATGCATGCCTTAGTATGTCTTGCAAACTCTAATTTTTTCTTGTTTCCTTTTTTCCCTTGTTAAATAGGATGTGGCAGCATTAGAGAGCCAGCCTTTACTTGGATTCACAGTCAGTGAAGTAAAAGATGAAAACTCAGAGTCTAGAGTGTTCCATTTACTGCACAAAAACACTTTATTTTACATATTCAAAGCAGATGATCCCCATTCAGCTCAAAAGTAAGAAACTACTTGAATTCATTTCTGTTACATATTTCTAGGAAATTCAGAAGTGGTGAATGTTCGTAATCACACATTAAACATATGTACCAAAGATCCATATTATATTGTACGTAAATGGAAGTTTTAAATTACTTAAAACACGAGGTTCTGGTGTCACTAGGACTTCTGAAATGCTTCTGAAATGAAGGAAGCAGACTCTCTTCGGGAAAAGACTGAATGTAGGAGACTGGGAGAGTCAAAGATAAAATAAGAAATCTTTCTTTTTCCTAGCTCATTCCAGAAAATGTGTTCTAAGAATTAACTGATATGTTCCTTTTTTATTTTCACATGTCAATGTTAGTTATTTTTGATGAATATATGGCAGTGAAAAATAAAGCAGACACTAAAAAGTACAGGACCAAAGTTCGAAGTGTGTGTGCAGATGCGAATGGGCACCTAGGCATGCTTAATACAATCAGACCAAAAGCTTGAATTCAAAGAACATTTACACAAGCTGTTTCATTTCAAGTCCTGCTGATGTGTCTGAGTTTGGAGTCATATTTATCAATTTATATATCGTGTGTGTTCTATCTAAAATAACCTAGAAGCTTGGTCATTAATCGGTAGAAAACATTTGTTACATGAATCTTATAGTAACCTAGAAATGAGCATAAATGGAATACATGTAAGCTGTCTTTCCTATATGCCTGTCTTATCTGACTGCTTTCACTGCAGTTTTGCCAAATGAATTTTATATTAATAAATACATTTGATGCACTAACTAGTCCATTATTAATACTTAAGCATTCAAATGGCTCCAGGTTTCTACAAATAGAGACATTCTAAAAAACAAGGTGCCCAGGACAACTGAAAATTTTGAACAGCTGAGAACGTGCTTAATGACACTTCTCTACATAAAAAAATCTAGAAGTCTTTATTTGATTTTGGGGAGTATTTTGTGCAGATGCACACAAATGTTTCCTTGTTCATTGAGACAGTGTTCTCTTGTTTCCCGTACTATATAAAACAAACTAAAAAACCCCAAGGCATTCAATAGCTTTGTTTTTCTATTCAGACAATGGCTTTTGTCATCAGTAGGAAAACTTCAAATTGAACATAGTGTATTTTACTGGGGCTAGGAATAACATTAAGTACCTTGAATTTTGAGCTTTCTCCAAGTATTTAATATCCTTAGGAGATTTATGCTGAACCTCCAGAATAAATGCTGCTTTGACAGCATTAAAAGGAAAAACAAAGAACGTGCCGTTGGTCTGTTAGCATCAGTGGACACTATTTTTTCCTGCTAGGGCCAAAGAAATATCTGATGCATTTGTATGAGTGCAGTAATAAATTTTAACAGATGCTTATTTTTCAGTGAGATTTTAGAAGTCCAGTGCTATGTTCAATGCTTAAGCTGTTTAGGGATTTTTTTTTTTGTAATTGTATTCCACTTTAATTGTTTCTAATGTATGGATGGCAGTGGAAAATACAGTGAGCCCTAAAAAGTAAGGGGTAGATGCTTGAGTTGTGTGTGCAGACAGGCATGAGGACTTACACATGCTTAATATGTTCATACCCAAAGCTTGAATTCAAAGAACATGCACGCAGTTACAAAATTAAATGCTCAGGGCAAGGAAGAGCCAACATCTGTGACTAATGTTTAGATACTCTGTGAATACTAAGATGGGTTTGAATTTCTATGATAAAGATAATTACAGTCTTTGTGTCAGTCAGTTCTTGCAAAATTTTCACTCGGAAAAAAATCGTCATTATGTCGGCCCCTTAACTTCACATACACAGAGTTCAGCCCTCACTCAGAACACAGAATTATTCCATTTTTTATTGTATTTGTCTGTGTAGCATCAGGGTGCTTCAGGAACTTTAATTTTTTCATCCTTGGGAAGCTGAGGATGTTTATCACCCTCCTAATCAAGTAGGAACAGAAACCACAGCTATAGGGTGTAAAAGTAGCTGAATATTAACTTTGAATTTCCAGTTTGAGACACCTTGGATCAGCTGTTTGGGACTTCCCCCTAACGCCCACCTTTCACCCCATGACCTCTTCCCTCAGCCCCACTAGTCATCGGTAACGCCCTGGTACCAGCTGCAAAAGCAGAGGGCATGGGTTATGCAGGCAGCAGACAAATACCTCAGTTACAGTAGTGTCCTGATTCATCCCAGGTCGTGTTTGCAGTGAAATAAGAGAAGGCAGTACTGGGGTTTTTTAAAGTATGCAGCACTTTGGCATATCCTACTTTTTGAGGATTTGATTTGCCAGCTTCACCTATTTTTTGTGCATATAACTTCAGTATGGGAGAGGTACACAAAAAAGTTTCTATCATATGGCCTTGTACCAATACTTAATATGTCCCCAGCAAGCTTTGTATGGTTGGACTCGTTGGCATTTGCACTCACAGACCAACTGGTAATGAAAGTATGATATTACTTCTTGTGTGAATCTGTAGCTACTGACAACAGTGAGATTTACTCTTTTATCAGCAACTTCCTAACAGTGTTTAATTTTTTAACAGGTGGATAGAAGCTTTTCAAGAAGGCACTGTCTTATAGCAGTGTCAGCATCATGTCTGCAAATTTAAAGGAAAATATCCAGGATGGTGGTAAAACAGACTACAGCAACTGTTCAGTGAAACAGAATCCTGCCGTCTCAACCTACACAAAATTGTATATTTGTCAGGATTAGGAGTTGTTGCATTTTTAGTGTAAAGTAATATTTTTTTAAAGAATTGTATGTATTTCTGTGTTGATACAAAATGTGTTATTTATTAAATTCCAATGTTTACTTTAATGGGCAGAATTATTTGTGAGGTCTGCATTGAGGTCCAAAGTGCCCATGTCCTCAGAATGGCAGATTGTTAGTCAACAGATTCATAAACTTTATGCTTTTTTTAAAAAAAAAAAAAAAGGCAAAACACAAAACAGATCTGTTGCAACTGTACAGTTCCTCATGATTTGTGTATAGGTCTTGAGCTGCTGATGTTCACTTAGCAATTTAGCAAGAACAGATCAGTATAGGAATTTCACAGATTTTGGATCTTTGTTGGCTATGTAAGCTCCTTTATGAGAAGTTGTATGATAGTGCTGCTCCTTTCCTTGAATGGCAGTTGAAATCATGCATACCAGTTCATTAAAACAGTACAACAAATTCCGTATCACAAAAGCAAAATACAGTTCAATTATTAAAAAAACAGAAAAGGGAAAAATATTTTAAAATAGACTTTGCAATTACAGGGATAAGGCACTAGAGCTCTTACAGTACTACAGAAGCAAAAGAGACTAAATGAGTTATCTTCAATAAATTGAAGGATATATTATCTTTTGTGTTTCCACTAGTAATTTAAAGCAGAGTAAAAATACATTTTTGATAATCAGAGAAAAGGCAAAATATCTTATTTGTTTCAAAACTTTGTGTCAAATGAGTTCTGTATACAAAAATGAAACACTGTATAAACTATTGTTCAAAGAACATTAAACAAATATATGCACCCTCCTCTCCCAAAATTTTAAACTATTGTATATTTAAATATTATTTTTAAACTGGAATTGCCATACCAAGACAACACAGCTTTCTTAGTGCAGAAGGCATTGAAAATGCATACCATTCTTTGAAATACCTTTTGTTTACAATATGATTTGTTTTCTTTGACACTTTAAAACATAGTTCAGTTTTAGAGGTTTGTTTTTGTTTTTTTTCTTTAAGAAAATCATCAGCATACCTCATTAGGAAATATTTACTGATGATTCTGGTGCATTTATTCTATTTAACTTTGAAAGATTTTTAACACTGTAACAGCATAAATGGAACTAGAACTATGAAAACCACATGAAAGGAAGCCATTTTTATGTCAAATGCGATGCATGTGTAGTCAGGTAATTTTACTACTTGTCGATAGTCCTCTGAATCAAGCTGGTTTTGGTAACAGAATTAAGAGCCATTAACTTTCAATTAATAGTTTGAATACGCATTAGTAGCTATTTTGTGGCCTCACAATGGAAAGAGAATAGATGATAGAACAGTTAGTAGTTATGACAGAAAGGCCAAGAATGAAAATGCAAACCAAAATTCTCTTATTTCCTCAAATACCTCAAAGTCAGGTCTGAGATACTAACAGAGCTCTGAAGAAGCTTGATTTCTTAGAGCTTCTGTTAAGTCAATAGTGGGCTTCGAAGTCAAATGCTTAATATTAACTATACAAGTAATTTCATTGGCTTCAAGCATTTCAGTAGAGTACCTTATGAATCAGGGACTTAAAGCTGTACATCTGACTTTCCTCAGGAACGCTAGAGATTTGACCAGATAATGTTGGAAATGAAGTAGGACTGATCAAAGCCTTTATTCTCTTTTATTGTAATACAAATGTGCTAAGTGAATACTTTTCTCTTGTTACATATAAAGGGCTTTTACTTAATTTTCAAAACCAGCTGCTCACCAAGCTAAATAAGTTATTAGCATGTCTCTTCAGGATGATTTCTGCCATGGTTTTTACTGTATCCAAAACTAAACTGATATAGATGTGATGTGTCTCTTCCTGTTGATAGTATCAAAGGGAAGAGCTTCTTAATATTTTCATAGGGACTGCACACCAATGAAGATGGCAAGTCATGAACCAGCAAATGAATCAGAAATTTGGTTAGGAGCCAGCTAATTTAATTTCAGTTTATGGTTTGATATATTCCCTGCTGCAAAACAGAGCAATAAAAGTCAAAACATACTGAACAAGGTGCCCAAGTTCTGCCTCGTATGGCATCAAACTACCTCTAGAGGATTTGGTGCAGAGTGAGGAAATAGTTTAAAATGTTCTGAGATAATCAGAGGACTTCTTCCAGAAGTAGCTGATCAATCAAAAGATCTGTGACAGAAATAGATTGGAATGGAGCCTTAAAAACAGTCGTATACATATTGCAGTCTAATTCTGTGTTAAACAAATTGTCTTTGTAAACATGTTTGAATATTTCTTTTCCTCTTTCTCCAGCATTAGTGCTTTGTGTCATATGAAGAACCTGCAACACAGGCATTTGCATAACATTTTCAGATGGTTGCTTTTCAAATTTGGTCTGTTTCTCCAGTTCACATCCCATTTTGATGCATTACCATCGAAAGTAAAGTATTTACTTATTGATTTGACTAAACACTAAAGCACGACCAGAAATTTTTAGACACTTGGCTACCTCCTCTTATAAGAATCTATAGTTCATAATTAATTTAAGATTGGTTAGCGGAGTATGAGACAAACATTAGCATTGAATATTAGTTCTAACATTTTTATTCATGGATAAATTAAAGGTTCTAGGATCCTGAATTCTCTTTAACTTAAAACTGTATTTTGTGCCCAAAGGACTTAAAACAAATGGATAGCTGAGCAGCTATGCAACACATTTTACTAAATATTTTTTGTGCATGGACACTTGATTATTACACTATGTATATTACATAATAATGTAAAGAGATATTTGGAAAGACACATTCAGTGCATTTGTTTGCCATAACTGCTCTCCCCTGCATTTACCATCCAAATAGCCTTTTATTCGAAGCAGTCCTAAATCATGCTGTCTAAATGTAAGAATAGAATCTTTATTTTGTAAATGAAAACAGTTCAAAGCTGTAAATATTCCTGTGGTTATTCATCATTTTTGTATAAATAAATTCACATTAGTTGAGTCTGCATCTTTTTTTTTCTTTTTAAATATGTTCAGGTCTTACATATTATGTAATTTGTATATTCAGTGATTTTCAAATGGCAGAATTTCTTAAAATTATCCTGCACATCAGTCTTGCTTTAAAAATCATACTGCGTTTTGCCCTTATGAACAGAAAACAGCCTGAAAAGGTAGGCTGTGTGGATAGACTAACACTGCTGCTGGATCTGACAACCTGAAACAGTAGTTTTAAGTGAATTATCTTGCTTACATCAGCCAAGACATTGGCTGTGCAACAGCGTGTAGTGACACACTCTCACTACCAAAATTGCTGTCTTTGCTAAAATATTTCCATCTTCCTACTCTCCCATCTTTTCTTAGCTGTCTCTTGCTGTCTAGTTCTTCACTTTCTGTTCCCTCTTCCCTAGCTCATCAAACTAAAAACCCATGCCTTTGCAAGTTCACAGTGTTTGTTACCTATAAAACTCTTCCACAACTGGGTGCAGGCCCATGCTGGACTGTGGCTTGCAGAGAAAATGGACCATCAGAAAAATTGCCCCTGAGCACCCCCAGGACACTGAGCAGAGGGGTCTTATCTCCTGAAGCCACATCCCACCCTTGGGGCATGACAGCCCTTCCAAGCTTCAGCAGCCCAGGAACGAACTAGCCCGTGTACTATAAAAGTGTGATTTTTCAGGTCTATGAGCACGAACTAGCTGTGGCAACAGCTGACTAGAATATATTAAACCATTAATGCAATATTCTTGAACATTTATCAGTGGAGAGAAGATAGTTCTGGAGCATATGATACAGGATGAGAGGACTATTCTCTGAGCTTCCTGAAGAGTAGACATGCCCAGAGGAAATAAAGCATCCTAAGAAACTATCACTCTAAAGAATTAAGGGAGTTAAGTCTATGTGAAGGGTGTTAATAAATCCTTTTGCAAAATCCAGTTCTGCTGTATCAGTAAAAGTATGCCTGAATCACAGTCTCTGTTGGCATCAGGTCCTGCACTTGGGTTACTGTCCTAGTTAGAACAGCTGGGCCCAGTTCATCACTGGATGGGTGTAACCCAAAACTGTGTATTCTATAGCCTTCCATGCCATTTCCCACAAACTGTTATCAATGAACCGTTTACACCATCTGCCCAGAGCAGCCTGACTCCTCAGGCTATAAACTAGGTGTTAAGAGGCCTATGAGATAGGAGGATGCTCTTGTCCTCACACACTTTGTGGAACTCCTTGCCCTGAGGGAAGTACTGGGCATTCCTGCCTGAACTGGAGAATATATGATCTTGGAGTCTTGGGCATCCTGGCCTGTATCAGCAGTAGTGTGGCCAGCAGGACAACAGCAGTGATTGTCCCCCTGTAGTCGGCACTGGTGAGGCTGCACCTTCAATCCTGTGTCCAATTGTCTACAAGACAGACATATCTGTCTACAAGACAGACATTGAGGTGCTGGAGCAAGTCCAGAGAAGGGCAATGAAGTTGGCGAAGGGTCTGGAGCACAAGTCTGATAGGGAGCGGCCAAGGGAGCTGGGTGGGGTTGTTTAGCCTGGAGAAAAGGGGCCTTGGGGGGACCTTATCACTCTCTACAACCACCTGAAAGGAGATTGTAGCCAGGTGGGGGGCAGCTGCTTCTCTCAAATAACAAGGGACAAGACAAGAGGAAATGGCCTCAAGTTGCACCAGGAGAGGTTTAGATTAGATATGAGGAAAAATTCTTCACCAAAGAGTTGGTCAAGCACTAGCACAGGCTGCCCAGGGAAGTGGTGGAGTTACCATCCCTGGAGGTATTTAAAAGATGTGCAGAGGTGGCACTTTAGGACATGATTTAGTGATTTAGTGGTGGACTTAGCAGTTGCTAAGTTTACAGTTGGACTCAATATTATGAGGTCTTTCCCAGCTTAAACGATTCTATGAGTATTTTAGCGGGGCCTGTAAGGGAGAGATTTTTCTGTCAGGTTAGTTATGCTGCCTTCTTCTTTGACATATATTTGAAAGCAGTTTTTTGAAAACTTGCAATAACAGCAGAAAGGGATTTGCTTCTCTGCATGGTTTTGATAGGGATGTGCCTCTTGTAATCCTGGCTGACAGAGCTATATGGACATGCCTTCGTAATACAGATCAAGTATGAATTGGGTCATTTCAAAGCATGTTTTACTGGTTACAGTGACATTTCTGCAGTATTGAGGATATTAAAATACTTGGCTGAAGTAAGTTTTGGTGCAAATTATTTGATATTTGTTAAATGAAACTGCACTAAGCTCTGTCATTTAGAAAGTGGATGTGTGGCTCAAGCTAGTTTGGGAAGTGACAAGTACTATAAATCAAGAGTGCTGCAACAGTTGACACTTTCAAGAGTGCTGCAACAGTTGACACTTTCAGGAAACACTTAGCAAGTTAATTGCGCCGATTTAAAAATTCTTCAGTAAGTTCATTTGCATTTGGCATTTGGGAATGTGTTTGATCAAAAAGTAGAATACGATGCTTGCAAGTACTGACTGAGCTAGTGATCTTGAGCTAGGGTAGATAGATTCAGGTGCAGCTGTGGGACTGGGAGTGGGAAGAAAAGCAGTAAAGGAATTGACAAGAGCGTGAATGATTTTATTAATCTTAATACATAAATTTGCTTGTATGCTTTGGGGTTTTTTCCTATCTCTGCTGCTCAGATGTTGATGCTTATGTCATCTGATTCAGTAGAAATTGCATAAAATGGTCTAAATTATTTTCAGATTGTGAACTTGCACATACAGCCCCAGTGGCCTACGTGATCTTGAAGTTGCTGCTGATCTCTGATCAGCTCTGTTAGACCATCTTTGTTGAACAGATGGAAGATGAAGGGTGAAAAGGGACATATTTAAAGTATAAAATTCTTATTTAAAATCAAGGTAATTTAAAATAATCAGCATAAACACAACTTTGATCCAAATGGATGTTGAGACACAGCCAGAACAGCAGTAAATTGTTCCTCTGGCACTACCCCAGCACGAATGGGCACTCTTTAGCAGCCAGGCTCCCCATCACCTTCCCGAAGGCAGTTCAGGGCAGCGCTGACGATTAACAAGGTGACTTGCTGCTGCCATGCAGGCGAAGCACAGCTCTTTCAGACATAGCTGGCTGAACTGCTACAGTGACTGCACCAAGTGTTGTGTGTGCCTCCACCATGTTGCATGTTTCAATCCCAACCCACCAATCTTGCCTATGGATCTACCTCAAGGGACAGAGCCCACCAAGCTCCCCAAGGCCAAAAGCAAACTGCAAATCTGTGATGTTCAAAGCTGGCTCATCCCTGTGTCCATGCAGAGAACTGCAGTTCTCTGCTTGCAGTGGGGAGATGGATATTTGTGCTCCCCGCTTGATGGGCATGACACTTGAGTACCGTCTTCAGTTTTGGGCCCCTCATTTTAAAAAGGACAGTGAGAGGACAACAGGAAAGGGCCTTAAACTGAGACAGGGAAGATTCAGATCAGATATTAGAAAAAAAATTTTGCACTGTTAGGGTGGCCAGATATTGGAATGAGTTGCCCAGGGAGGTGGTGGAGTCACCATCCTCGGAGGCGTTTAAGAGGCGTCTGGGTCTGGCGCTGAGTGATGTGGATTAGAGGTTACAGTGGCAGTGCTGGGTGGACGGTTAGACTGGATGATCGTAAAGGTCTCTTCCAACCTTGATGATTCTCTGATTTTACGACACTGCCCGCAGGGCTGGCGGAACGTCTCGGGCTGCGGTGCGGGCGCTCCAGCGGGGCGCTGCGCCCCGGTCCTGCCGGCCCCCGCTGCCCGCGGCATCACCCGCCCAGCCCGGCCCCGGCCCCGTTAGCTGCCGCTCCCCCCGCCCTAAACCCCCCGCCGCGCGGCCCGGCGCGAGCGCAGGCGCAGAGCCCGCGGCGGGAAGGGGCGGGGCGGCGGCGGGGGCGGGGTCGCGAACTCTGACCCCCGGGAGCGGAGCCGCTGCCGCCAAACAAACCCGCCGGAGCGGCCGCGGGTCCGCCAGGTGAGCGAGAGACCGCCGGCAGCCGAGAGACATCCCTCCCCCGGTGGCGGCCGAACGGGGAGCAGAGGCAGCCGCGCCCGCGCTTAACGGTGCGGGCCCGCCCGGCTCCTGGCCGACGCCCCCGCGGAGCGTGGAGGAGAGCGGCGCCCGCCCCGCCCCGGGCCCCGGCGCGGCCCGGCCCGGCCCGGCCCCGGGCGGCCCCGCGCCCCCCGACCTTTCACCTACAGGAACCGCTTGCCGCTCCCGCCGCCCGGCATCCGGGTGGCGCCGGCTGCCGCTTCCCGCGGGCGCGGCGGGCTCGGGAGCCTCAGGGGAGACGGCGGCGGGCGATGGCGATGCCCCGCTCGAGCTGCGCCCCGGCCCCGCGCAGCCATTTTGTGCGGGGGGCGAGCGCGGCGCTGGCCCCGCGAAGCCCCCGGACAGGGCGATGCCGGGGCAGCTGCCGGGGCAGCGGGGTGGGCTGGGCTGGGCCGGGCGGGCCCGGGCACTGCGCTGGGGCTCGGCCTCTGCGCGTCTCCCTTTCTCTCCCTCCCCGACTCCACATTCCCGGGGGGTACCGTGCGCTTCTCCGACCCTTCCCGCCGCTCTGTGCCTGCCGACGGCATCGCCCCGCCTGTTCGCTCCTCATATATCCCAGGCGGCTGTCTGGGTATATATTGTGTTAAGGTAGCATGACCAGCGCAACAGCCGGTGTTATTTTTGTTGGGTCAGATGACCCTGCCGCTGTTACTTATTTTGTCTCGTTGGATGGGGTATTTCTTCTAAGCTGCAGAATTTGTGAATTCTTTATTTCTTCAGTGTTGCCATATGTTGCTTTAAGTGTAAAAAGCACGGCGTGTACCACAGGATTCGCTTACATTTGCACGTTGTGGAGGGAATAGAGGAGATGCCGTGTATTGTGCAAGTGAACTTACGCAACAGGAGAGGAAAAAGTCTTGAGATAGTGGTTTTACTGCAAGACGAGTGTGTGGACGTGATTCTTGAAAAACTGAGTTGGATATTCATTCTTCTTATGTGCAATCTCTGA